ATTCGAGCTTCGCACAGCGCGAGATACAATTATCACACGCGAAACAATATACGTAGCGACGCCGGCCAAAGCTTTTGTAGACAAAGAAAACTTTTACAAAAGGCACAATTATTATTTTTTTTTTTTTCTTTTTTTTCAAACTCTTTTCCTTCTGCGCAACGCCGAGATGTTGTAACCGCTTTTTTTCCGCTTGAAAATCGCTTGCACAGTTACTGCGAAGAGATAACAACTCTTTTGCCTGCAAACGAATTTAGACAGCTTGATCGGGACTTGAAAAACTTGAGTCCTTAAGATCTCTTCGAGCTATCAAATGATTAAAGAAGGGCGAGCCCAAGATAAAGCGATTCCGTAATCTTTTTATCGAGTCGCGCGAAGAATAACATACAGCGGATGGGGGGGGGGATTTAATAAAAAAGTAGTAACATCACCGGGCCGCGCTCTCGAGAAAACATATGCGGAAGCATCCACTCCGGTTGAAATAGAAAAAACAACGGAGGAGTGGTATTATTTTTCCCGAATTCTCCCCACCACTGATTTTGACTTCCCTCTGTTCTGGTAGAGCGTATACGTCTTGAAACTCGCGGTAAAAAGTTATGTGGGTCAAAGATGTCCCCGAGTGCAAGTTGGACCCGACCTCTCGCTCGTACGCACCAGTTTGTACTCGAGGGGGGCCGCAAAAACGTGTCCCGATATCACTAGACTAATTGAATATCGAGAGAGGGGGAGGGAGGCGAGGACGCGGTCTATTATTACGCGGCGTCCCCCCTGAACCTATACAGTTTCGCGTAATTTCCTGTTTGTGTATATGTATACACGCATGTACAGTCCCGTGGAGGTATGCCTATTAACGTATGTGGGTCGAAGGACGGGAGCGAGTCGGTGGATGCAGGCGCGCGTGAAAGTCGAAGCGGAGAGATATTGCACGGCGCCTTTGTCATAGGCACGTCCAGATATGTATATACGTATAAATTGACAATGCACGCGACGAACAAAAGCACAAAATAATGCAACCTCACCCTCGCCTCCTCCCCGATACCCTGAAAATTTGTATTTGCAACGTAAATCACTCGGAGTACGCGAGTGCGCGGACGAGATTAACTTATCTTATATTCGTGAATGTACGACAGTTAACGTTTCAATATTGTCCCTTTGGCCCAAAATCAGCAAAACCTTCGAGTTATGATAAGTATACGCCGGAAGGGAGGTTCCGTCGGTCGGCGGTGCAAGGCTAACAAGATGGGGGGGGGGGTAGGGTAAACATGGCTGCTGATGGCGTACAATGTAGGGCCTTTCGCCCTTCTGACCCCGTGCTGGCATCACTTTAGCCGGACGAGCGTGGAATATCGAACGGATGGCGGAAGGCTGCTCCGACGTGCACGAGACACGGGGAATGAGTTGCACTTTTACCGTGAAACTACAATTAAAAATCCATGTTTTCGTATAATGGCTCGTGTGTATTTCATTTTTCGTTTAGGTTGTTTATTTTAATCTCATTGTGTGAAAACGTTAGTAGTCACAATATTGTCCGTCGATCTAAACTATTCAATCTAAATCTTATGATTATGGAAACAATTCTCTCATTTCTTTCTTGGTTTTGTTAGAACTTGAGGAATGTTGGGATTATACTGTAAAAGGTAAGAGAGCATGGCCCCCTCCCAGAGAGTGTCGGTGCTCTCTCGAATTCGCTTATTTTTTCAGTAAACGACAAGAATGCCTTTGTTAATTTTTTTTTTTTTTTTTTCCAAAATTTTGCACGTGTCAAAAGTTTGCGAGAAAGTTGGAAGAGTCGGGGAGAAACGAAAGAAGAAAACTCAGTCAGTGGGATACGCGTCAGAGTAGAGTGGCCATAGAAATTTGAAGAGATTCGCGCTCAAAAGGCTCCTCTAGCGCGTATACCTACACCACCGTCTCGGCAGGATATCGCTTCATCCCCCTTCTCCACCCACCACCCGAACTTTTCCCAATATTATTTCATACCGTGTCACTTTATTGGACATTAATTTTTTATCGCCCTACCCCCGCGTGTACACACATATATATACCTGCGTCGCCGTCGCGCGTTTTTATGAAAGTCCGGGGGGAAAAAAATAACTTTACCGAGTCGATAAATAACTCGAGGCTCTATATTAAATTTTAATTTCTCCGGGTGCGCTCTCGTTGATTTATCGTTTTCTCCCCGCCCGCGTTTTCAATCCATTTGTTTGCATCAGTGGAAATTTTTTTTTTTTCTCCAGCCCATCCGATACGCCAACGTAATCACGGGACACGGAGCGTCTCTTGCGTCCACAGTTTACCGCGCACGAGTGTTCCCTCGCTGGGTGTATCAGTGCGGCGTGACCTGCGTTGTCTTCGGGAGGGAGGATGGGACGATTATAGGTCCGGCACCTGCTTGTCGGGAGACCACGGTAGTGTTAAATGCGGGGGCGTTATACTACGACAGGACTCGCCTGGGCGTAAAATTAAAGGAGAAGACGAGTAGAGCGGAAATTAAGCTCACGAAGCGGTGTATCGGCTCTGCCGTTGCATATCGTTCGTTTGTACCTGCCTACCGGGTGGCAGAAACAAAATTCGAGGCCAAAAAAGTGTTGGACTCTCGGAACTTTGACGAAGCCCCTTTGCTCCCTCGGTCACACTGCTACATTGTTCAATACTATTGTGACTGGTGTGACAGATGACAAAAGTGTACTAATGTACATTCGCTACACTGCGTGGGAAGAAAAGGGAATAGTTGTATCGTACAAGGTGCGATGTAAAATGGGTCAATAGGTGAAGAGGTGCCATTTAAGGGAGGTATACCAAGGGTTATCGCGTACACATTTCTCCACGATTGGCTCGTTTGAGATGTCATCGATATTGTTTTTCGCCCCCCCCCCCCCGTTCCGCCGAAAAATCCCAGTTGACGTCCCCCCCCCTTTTTCAAGCTTAATCGAGCCCTCCTCCTTGCGGAGCGACTATATCGATACGTCAAGCTGAACGATCACCGAGACGACAGTTTAATATGCCAAGCAGGTGGAGAACCGTGCACGAAGGGTAAATTTATTATTTTCACTCGGTGTTTCATTTGATCAATTTATCCAATCGATTTGATGGAGATTCCGAGCGGAGGGAAAAATTCTCGTGGTATGAAATGAAAAAAAAATTAAGGTTTGCTTATCCTTTTCACGCTCCCCGAGACTCCCGTATTTTTTTTTTTTTTTTTTTTAATATAATCATCGTCGCCTCGCGTCAATCCACAAAATTACCCTTTGTGTATCCATGCATCCATCCAACATCCAACACGTATTAAAGAATTAATCATCGTGAAATCGTACTCGTGTTGATTGGGGGGGAAGAAAAAAGAAAAAAAAAAAATAGAAACACAATACAACGACGAGATGAATACACACGTCAGGGACATTGGACCGAGCGAGAGTTGGTCCGCTCGGTGCTAGTCGGCCAGTAGTACGAGTCAATAAATAGTCGGGCGGCCCCAACAACTGCACCCGGTGCACCCCTCCGTAACTGCGGATAACCAATGGCCCGCGAAGCGCTAATAAACTCTTTGCTCTGCTGAATTAATTTGCTCATCCTCCCCCTCCCTCCCTGTATGGTGGATCCTCTTACCTATAATGTGATTGTGATTCTCGGTGTTTCGCAGCGATTAGGGGATATGCTTGCGCGGGCCCACCGACACCTCCACTTCACGTATATCTACATGTGTAATATCATTCCGCATAGCAAAATAGAAAACATCAACAGGTCGATCCGAGTCACGCGAAATGGCGCGCGTGGCGCTCGTGGAAACGGGTCGTACATTCGTTTCGCAAGTCTCATATCGACGTCATGTCGATTACAGACACGTACACATGGGTATACTTCACTCGGAGGGGAAACGGAAGGAGGAGCTGAACGTATTATTGGCACGTCGCGAGAGCGTGCCATTATTCTTCGTTTCAATGCAATATACGAATTCGACACTTTTATCGGTAGCCTCGATTTCTCCATATTTTCACGTGTATACGCAAATACACGTCGTGACTTTGCTGAAATCGTATATGTCAACCGGAGCGTTGGCGTGACTAAAAGTTGCTTCGGCGATATTATATTGTTACCGTCGTCGTCGCTGTCACATCGATTTACGTGCCATTAATTTAATTTAGCCTACAATACACATATATATATATACACGTCGCTTCGTACGGGTAATTATTTTGAGGGGGAGGCTGTTGACTTTTTGAAATAATAGTTCCGCGGCGCCCAATATATTACAACACTAACCAAGCTTAACTTTATGGAACAATGCGACCCATTAGCGGGACACGATATTGTACAAAAAACACGTGGCAGGTATATACACGCGTAGTCTACGCCGTTACTAGTAATAGAGAACAGTTTATTCGAGTTAAGGTGGACTAAACTCGCCATTACGAGCAGTTTTTACCTGAAATGAAAATCTTCACTTGTTCACTGTTTAGCCGGGCACGTTAGAGTCACGCACGACGGGGGAGGAGGGGGATGAAAGTTAATTTAAAAAAAGGAGGTGAGTCTTGAAAACGTGAAATAGGTGTTTTAATAACGGTAAAAGTCATGTGGGTATGCACATTGTTACGAGCAAGTAAATGGCTTAATGGTACCGCCGTTACGTGTGTGCATCCAACGAATAAAGTAGCGTTCCCACACAGCGAGTAATATCACAAATGGGGTGCGTAATACTTAGTTATGGACTTGGTTGGGTGTATAACTGGCACTCGGATGAAATTATTTCCGGCGCATTTTGTAAATATACGTGCGTGTACGTACGCAAAAAACCTCACAGAAAGTGTATCGGTGTGTGTGTGCGTAAAAAAAAAAAAAATCTCTTCAAGATGAAAACCATAGACCAGAGTCGGTACTAATAATACGGTGTGTATGTGTGTATAACAGAGAGAGAGTGAGTGTGCGGCGAGTGATCGTTGGATTTGAAAGGGTCGAGATAGCGCATCGGCAGACAGATGAGGGTAAAAGGTATAGTATCTACTCACGATTGTGCGGCACGTTTTGGTGTTGCGGCAGGACTGTCATTGTCGCTCGACGGCGGGAGCCTCGTGAGCCGAAGCTCGTACCACCACCACCACCACCACCAGAGTAGAGCAGAGCAGAGCAGACCGGAGCGGCCGAGCTCTCCACGGCGCGCGCAGACTCTCTCTCGAAACTTATTGCGTCCCTCTTTTGAGCGCAGGAGCTCTTCGCGCCGACCGCTCTATTGCCTCCCCCCCTGTCCCCTTTTTTTTCAACCCCCCACGGCTGGAATAGCGCCAATGAAAAGCGAACGACAATCGGTCAGCTTTGACTTTCCTCTGCGCTCTTTCTGACTAACGAGAGCTCGATGTTTACACCAAAAGTGCAGATTAAACGTTTCATCCATCCTCCGTGGGTATGCGCAAGCCCTGCGCGTCCAACTTGCTTGGATGTGGACCGTGTGTTTTATTAATTCTCGTATACAATAGTTTCTTCCCTGCCAACTTGGGTAAATTCATTTTTTTTTTTTTTTTTTTCCCAGCCTTGCGAGCAAAAATACGGTTCAGTAATTCGTCGCTGTGCCTGTACCTTCCAACAGGGGAGTGATGATCGTGTACGAGAAAAAACTTGGTATATTACACGTGTGTTAATGTCTTTGATGGGGCTGGGAAAATAACATGTGCAGGGTCGTCGGCCAAAAAAATTCTGGCGAAAGAATGGACGAGAGAAGACGAGGTCCGTGCAAGGCAAAAACCATTTTTTCGGAATTTCTCGTCTGGTCCTGTGACGTTTGAAATATTACCCTGGGGTTTTCCCTCTCTCGTCTTGAAAACTCTCGTTGTTCCAAAAACAATTTGGGATGGTCTTCTCCCCGACCGGCACTTCCCGAAAAATTTTCCAACCATTTTTTTCTGAATTGTCTCGCATTTATTTATAATAATTGTGTTTTAATCGATCACTTTGAATTAAATCACGAGGTGCTTAAAACAACCAATTTTTTTAATCACTTTACGTTTTTTTACTCATTTTCGCTTGGGATATCAATGTGTGCATTGATTTTAAAAATCACCATTTTACTGAATTTTTTTCGAAAAAAATCACGAATTCGTAAAAACTCGGTTCTTCCGGAGTTTTCAAAATGGGATTTCTGTTTCACCTTACTAAGGTGTACACCATGAGATGTATTGTATTTGCCCTCACACAATGGCAATTTTTTAACGCGCACGGCTGAAGAAAAACAAAAAACACTCACAATCTCAAATCCATTTGGGAAATGTGGCTTTTCTTAAACTTTTTACAACTACGACATTTCTTTTTCTTTAAAAAAAAAAATAAATAACCTAGAAAGTTCTCAATTTAATTGACTTGGGCTGAAATTGTTAAACTTCCCCATCAAATTTTTTGATTCAGACTTTTTTTTCACAACAAATGCGAGACAGCTCCTTACTTTATTATGTAAACGCACGCGGGTACAAAATAATCCAACGAGAAATTAAAAAAACTTTTTGTTTCCGATCCCATTATCATATTGAAATTTCACATGTCGTAATAATATTTAATTTTTCAAAACCAGTTACAGCACCGACTACAGTTTTTTTTTTTTTTTTCTACCCTCCTATACGTGTACTTGAAATCGTACATGTACGTGTCCGTTTGTCTCAAATAAAGTCCCAGGGAAATTCCAGCAAGCTACAGGTGCGTAGGTATTTACCGACACCTCAAGGTTTCCAGGCCGATCGGCGGAACGGAAAACGAATTTACGAGTTTCCAATGCCAACGCGAAGTCTGTTTTCGCCAGAGTTAAAAGTTTCAAGGTGGATTCCTCGTCAACCTTACGCAGCTGAGTTAAATTTCGCGCAAATGAAATAAAAAAAAAGGATAATTCTCTTATATTGCCTTTGGCACTACGGTATATATACGAGAGTAGCTCCGTGTGCGTATGGATGTCATTAGGAAAGGAGGATTTTTCCCATACGCGTTTAATCTTGGAAAAGTAGTTTCACCCTCGAGCCGCTTATTCCTATCCATAGAAAAGTTTGTAAATGCATTCGAAAAGTTGTGCCGGATTAGAGTTTGCGGGAAAAGAAGGACGGGAATACACTCGATCCGGCCATTATGCAGCGGCTTAACTGCGAATGTTTCACGAGAAAAAAAGCGTAATCCAAATATGGAAGAAAAAAATGCGAACGAATGATTAATTTTGTTATTTCAAATTGTTTTCACGGAAGGACTTGAAAATTTAACGCTGTCGATGCTTTTTTGCGATGATTAACGCGAAAAGGACCCTAGTGGACAGGGGAGAAAAACCATTTCCAATTAATTTTTCGGTGGTCCACAGAGAGAGATTCCGCGGCATTTAGGAGGTTTGCGGGGGGGGGGGAAGGTAAAAGCTTGACAGGCCATCGGGTGGATTTTGCGGATCCGCCTTCGCAATTAAAAACTTTATCCAGCGCTCTCCCTTTCAATTTTCGCGTCTTTGACTCGTTAGCGCTCGCGCCGGATACTCTATAGTAGAGCAGCAACACCGAGAAGTGATGAACGAGCATTTTTTTTTTTTTTCACGACCGCACACCGGCCATTAGCGAGCGAAACTTTTTTTTTGCACCGAGACAAACTCGGCCTCTGCGGTAAGACCAACGTGCTCTACAATACAGTGTATACACACCCTCGTGGAAAATCCTCTGTGAAATGTGGTTTTTATATTTCCAAGGTCTCAATGCCCCTCGCATCGTATGACTAAAACTCGCATACAGCACGTACAGAGCCAGTGGTATGGCATTCAGTAGAAACAGCCGAGTTTGGTCAGACGCGCACGTAATACATAAATCGCCGCTTCCATCCACGATGCAACGCGCGAAGAGAACGAGAGAGAGAGAAAGATGTACGGGGGTAAATACAAATATTTATGAAGTCAACGAGATGCGCCTACATTTTACACCCATACACGTATAGGCATGAAAAAAAAAAAAAAAAAAAAAAAGAAGCTGCGCTGGGGAGGAGTAGCGCTTGCGCTACTGCGTGAGTAGCATACGCTCGAAGCCACCTGTAGCCCCCCTAGAGCTGCTTTCATCCCCGGCCAATCGATACCCCACGCGTGTTGTGCTCATATACCATGTATACACGTATCTCACTCTTTTCTCTTTTTTTTTCTTCTTTCTCTCACCCTCTTAACATGTGGAGTACAACGATAATAATAACAATGATAATCCTCGTACGCGGTGAACAGCTCCACCCTATGCGAGACATGTATAGGTGTACACAGTCGCAAGCCGCTCACAGGATTTCCCTTTTTTTTCTTCTGTTTATCACACGCGTGCTGTGAAAATAAAAAAAATAAGGTCCGTGCAAGGCAAAAACCATTTTTTCGGANAAAAAAAAAAAAAAAAAAAAAAAAAAAAAAAAAAAAAAAAAAAAAAGGGGGGAAGGGCCGAACGACCCACCGAATCGTCGATTCATTGAATTATATTTGCCGTACAAACACGTGACGCGCTCTCCGCCGTCCATAATTATTTGCTTCGACACGTTTAAACCCCACCATGTAACACAAACACATCGGTCTTTTTTGGACACCAGAAATAAGCGTACACGTACGCGCCTCGGAGCTGTTTATCTCGCGCGCGAAGCGGAGATGCAGGTAAAACGAATGAATCAATACAAGCGGAGGTGAAACAAAAACTAGTTGGCTCCACAGTTTGTAATTCCACCCCCCCCCACACCCCCCCGCTCTCTCTCTTCGAAAAAAAACCGCGTTTACTCTATGATCACAGGTGAAAAGCACGGCAATTAGCGGAAAACGGCAAGAAGAAGAGGGGGTAAACAAAAAGAGAGCAACGTGTGTATGTAGTACACATACAACGCGCAATTTGTGGGGGTGGTCGCGGTAAGAGGAGGCACGCGCTCGCGAGCGCTAAACAAACACCCGAGAGGGAGAAGAAAAACGTGCCTCGCTCCGTACGTACCTCGAGGCACCCGAGTGGATGCTTTCAACGTCACAATGGAAAACGGAGGACCCTCGAGGGGAAGTAACAGGTCTGCGTCAAACTTTGGGCCCTTCGTTGTTTACTTTTTCCCTAAAAAAAAAAAAAACAAAAAAACAAAAAAAAACAACCCTCGAAGCACACGTGTCGCTGTGTCAGACGAAAATCTAGCATCCTCTGGAAAATCATCGATGAAAGAAATTCTCCTTCTTCAGGGACATAATTGAAAGGTATATTTATTAGGTACTCGAGCCAACTACGTGCGGTGGCATCTCATGAATGATTTATCGATGATTTGTCGGCCGGTACGAAGTAGAAGCAGCCGGTCTTTGGTCAGACGGAGCGAACCGAACACGACGGCACCTTAGAAAATGTCCATAAAGCGAATTTTCAATCGAATCGACGTGAGAAAGAGGGGGGGGGGGTAATCGGAATCGCTAGACCCCCAATAGCTCGAGCCACGTATCTTTGACGGGCGAACGAGCAGGGAAACATCGGGGTACGGTGGTATTGGGCACCCACGTACACGTGCATACACAGTCACGGGGTGGAGGAGGAGGAGGAGGAGGAGGGTGGAAAAGCCTCGGGAGCTCTTTCGAGATGTTTGCCTGGACGGCCCTCGCAACACAGGGGGAAGAAAAAAAAAGGGGGGGCGAAACGCGGCAAAAGAAAGTAGCTGGCATTTCTCTCCCGCTTGTGTATACATGTATATATACCTACTCCTTTGAGGGGGAGGCAGATGCCGCGGGTTTAGACTTATCGCTCCCGATTTATTCCGAGAGACTTTGCTTGGCCCACATCGGCCTCTTTGGCCCGGAGTCTCCCTTTTGCCCCTTTGTCTCCGATCGCTCGGGGTTTCCCTTGAAAATCTCCTCGGCGACCATTAAGCTCTTTCTACAGATTTTTTTCTTTTTTCCTTTTTTTTTAACGGTGAATAAGACATCCTTCCAAATGTCAAAGGGACCCTTTTTTTCATTGGCTACCCCACGTGAAATTTAACGCTCGCGGGAAAAACTCAAACATCCGCGAGTGACGCGCAGAGCTGCGATGACCGCAGTATAAGTACACACGCGACTGGAATTCCATCGGCAGAGGCCGAATCGCTCGGATTCCCGTTGGCCCTACTCCCACCGTAACTGCAGTCGAGCCAATCAAACGCGACTCCCGATCGCGGGAAAAATTAGACTCTCAAATCCCCGTGGCCTGCAGCTACGTAATATCAAACGAAAATGTTTTCTCGACGTCACCGCGCGCCCCCCAGTAAGGTTTTTTCCCAAAAAGCTCCCGCGTCACCTATAAACACATACACGCACACGCGCATAAAAACTCCAGGATCCGACCAAGGGTTGAACACACGGTTATCGCAACAGGCAAGACGCGCATTGTGTTTTCCGCCGGCCTATGCGTGCACATCGGCAGGGGCTATATGGAACACGAGGAGGAAAGGGGCGCGCGCGGTGTAAAAGCCCCCCCCCCTGCGGCCTTGGGTGTAAAAGGTAAATTCTAAATATAAACTGCGTCAGGGCCTCGAGGAGCGCGCGCGCGCACATCCCACACTCAGAGGGGGGGGCATGCCCATACAGTTATATAAGGAGCTCGAGGAACGGGGGGTGGGTGGGAGACCTGAAAGTTACCCCCCTTTCGTTTTGTACACGTTGTAGCTGGGTATACACGTGCACATGGGGGCCAGAGAGGGATATCGATTCCCCAGGCCTGATGGCGCTCCGTCTCTTTCCCTCTGGGGTGTACGTTGGCGGCCCAGAGCCCGGCGGAGGTTGCCCTGATGCTCGTTTTCTTTGGTCTCTCGGAGACTCATCCTTGTCTTCCCACGGGTGTAAGTCGTACCTTAAAGTATCAATGTGCCGATCTTTCGATCATTTTTTATTTTTTTATTTTTTTTTTATTCACCAACTTTGAAGAATGCAAAGTTTAAAGCTGATCGAGAGCCTTTTAAGAGGATTTTATGGGGGATTCGAGGCCGAGGGTGTATTTAATTGTCGCGCAAAGCGATGCGTGGACTTGATGAGTGGCGATACTTTCAAGGATAACGGCAAGAGAATTAATTGGGGAATATAAATACCCAAATCGTTCTATGCGATGGAAATTTTTTTTTTTTTTTTTTTTCTTCTAAATTTTTCTTTGCCCTTGCGTCTATGATTCATGTGGGTTGACTTTTTTTTTTTTTCAATACAAACACGTCAATCTACGTATGTACCACAACTATGATCAGATGGGTAATACCGAGAAATGGTTATTAATGCTCTCATTGGGTAAAGCAATCATGATATTGTTGTCCTGTTCAAAAACACAAAACAGACGCAGAGTATTTATACTGTATTAAAACAAAATTATTATTTCACTTAAAAAAAAAAAAAAAAAAAAAGTTTCTGTCGAGCTATGGTGATGCTGGTTGTTTTGTTTAAATTAAGTTTATAGTTTACTCGCTAAAAGCCAAACTTTGCTTTCGGTTCGAAATTTATGACCCAAACTACTTATATTCAGATGTTACAGTGACCAAACAATAAATTTATACATTGCACCATTATGTCCGAGTAACTACGAAATGCATATTTAGTACGGAGCACGTGCTTCAATTTGTTGCGTATATTATGAGCCGAATCGAATATATTTGTAGGTCGAATTATTTTGCGGGTGGAAAACAAATGTACGAAACGAACCGATGCACGTACAGAGCATCAATAATACTTAACTGATTGGAGTCGATAAATCAACCGATGGAATTAAATACCAATAATTACTGTGGGAAACAACTACATAAATAACGTTAAAGTACATATTATTCTTTACGTAATATTTATTATAGCCAAATTACACATAAAATCCGATTTCAATTTATCTGTTGAGCACAAGTGTAGCGGACAGGTATAAGCAGATTCCACTTGATGTAATTCTGTAATGATTAAAGTGACGTCATTAACGTTGAGCACAGCAATCGTACATACAATGTAAATGCACATTCCATCGATGTTACCAGTGAAAATAATTTTGGAATAATTTGGTGATTGAAACATTGTTTCGGAACCCCTCATTGTTCTTTGCTAATATCACCAATAATCAAGCCATAGATTCAATAAAAGCTTATTGTGTTGATTAGAAAACGTTGATGTGCGTTCGAATAAACGCGCGCTTTTTTCTTTCTGCTAGACCTACAAAAACATATATATATATATATATATACACAGGTATATATATCACTTGAGCTGTATTTTATTATTTTGCCCTTGCAGCTTATATGTGCTCAATTAATAAATGTCTGACCTACTCACTATTGTCATTGTTCCGCGTAAGTAATGAAAAATTAACTTTAGTGTAACAAAAACATAATATTCATATGGTTCAAGTGAAGTGGGTGAAAAATTATCATAATACTTGGTTATACATGTGTCGGAGCAAGTAAACGAGTGACGAGTGTTGACAAACATAGGAGAGAAAAAAAAAGGGATGCACGCACCTCTGACACATCTCTGTCCAGCCTGACCTGTCATGTGTCATCCCGTCCATTATGTTTGCATCTGGGAGCGACAAGAACTCATCCCCGTGGAGGCATTTTTTGACGTAGCAGTAGGCTCGCAGTCGAGGTGATCCCCAGGACAGACAGAAAATGTCATCCGAGCCCGACGAGTGACAGCCCTCGTCGCCCCGTCCCAGAAGTCGTCGCTGTACTTATGCAACGACAGAAGGAGGAGGCCCCCTGCGCCCGGGAGGCCAGCAAGACGTGCAGCATCTGCGGCGACCGCGCGCTCGGCTACAATTTCAATGCCGTCACCTGCGAGAGCTGCAAGGCCTTCTTTCGGCGCAACGCTCTCAAGAACAAGGTACTTGGCATCGAGATTGTCCACCTAAAGCACGTCACAGTTAGTCGCAAAGCTTACATCCATCTGTCTGTTTGTTACTACTCCTATACTGCAAGCGTTTAATTTATCAGATACATTGCTTATCGCATGTGACATTCTTAGTCAAGTACCTTGGGCTTTTGGTGTTTGTGCACTCGTTAGGTCTTCCTTCTTTGCAGAGTTGATTAGAGCATTATCGTGTTTTTCAGGACTTTCGATGCCCCTTCTCTGAAAACTGCGAAATAACTCCGGTAACTAGAAGATTCTGTCAAAAGTGCAGGTTAGACAAGTGTTTTAACATTGGCATGAAGAAAGAGCTGATTATGTCCGATGAAGACAAGGCTCTGAAAAGACGGAGGGTCGAGCAGAACAGGGCAAAAAAGAGACCATCAGGTTTGGACAATCAAAACGTGACCAAACCGAAAAGAGAAAGCGTAGACAATGCTAGTTTTGATGATACGTCTACTTCGATACCGTCTGTCAACTCTTCGATTGCTTCTGCTGCGTCAGAACCATGTTTTTGGGAGAATGAAAAAAAATGCGTTGATCGGGGTGTTAAGAAACAACCAACAATAATCGACAGCATGAGTCCAGCTACAGCTGCGAGTGTTCCCTCTAGCCCTCCAGAAAGTTGTGGCATTGATGGCACTAAAACCTTGGAAATGCTCAAAAGTTCAGCTGAACAAGTTTCTGGTCAGAATTTCACAATGGATGATCATTCAGTTTCATACGGTTCTCTAGATTTAAATGTGGAAAAAAATTTTTCTAGTCAAATACACTTTGATACTAATTCTAGTACTTTAGAGCAAAATAGAGAAAGCCCCATACTTGTAAAGGTGCACGAATATAATACAGCATGCGAGCAAGCGGAAAAAATAAGGCTTGCCAATAATTGCGTTACATCTTCAAAATGCATCATAGGACATGGAACTTGTCTTTCCAATTCTTCTAACAAACCAGCCTTGGGTGAACATCACATGTACATGACATATCTAGACTCTTCGAGTACAAAGTTAATTGAATCGTGCGTGAACCAAGTTAGTTCAAGTATATGTCAATCAAATATAGAGGAAACGATTGCTTGCCAAGGTTCAAAAGATTTCAGCACATTTCAAAAAATAACTCAAAATTCAGCTGTCATTTCCAAGTTAATACAAAGTCCCCTCGTTATTTCAAAGATTATTCAAGACCACAGCTTACTAGCTAAGCTCATGACAGATCCAGGAGTAATTAATAAATTAATGTCCGATCCACAAATATCACAATTGTTTGAGCAAAGTATTACTGACAATGTTCAAGAAGCTACTAAAAATATTTTAATAAACGGCGATGTAGGGTTGGTTAGGCATACTGAAATGTTGAAAGATAAAACCTTAGAGATTATTAGGCAGCAAGTAGAAAATCCTATTTTAACAAATTTAATTACAGCGCGAAATATTGAAGAATATAAAAATCATGATAGTGCTCACGTACGCAGTGAACATAAAAAAAACCACGGTATTACCAGAAACATTCAAAGGTAATGGTAAAAATTGTATTTGAAATATTCAAACACATTAAACGTCATTAGTTGAATATTTAATATTTTCAGAGAATTCATTAGTGCAAATAAACTTGAATCTATTTTATGTGAAGCCATCAAGTTGGAGTATTCTCCATATTCAACTTTAAGCTGTGTCTCAGGCAGTAGAGAGTTAAATGATGCCGAAAGAGCGAAATTAAATGAACTTATAGTTGCAAATAAAGCTCTATTAGCACCACTCGAAGAAGATATCACCAACTTGGTTGGCGATAATTGCAATATAAAGGTAAAGTTTACTTTGGCCCAGATCTTCGATTTAATTTTTTCAAAGTGTAATTACCAAATTTAACGATGATTTACTTGACAGGAAAATCCTAGCAGTAAAGATCCCAAGCTTTTGGGTGTTATTAACTTGACTGCTACAGCCATTAGAAGGTTAATAAAAATGTCGAAAAAAATCAGTGCTTTTAAGAATATGTGTCAAGAGGATCAACTTGCATTACTCAAGGGTGGATGTACTGAAATGATGATTTTGAGGTCAGCAATTAATTATGACCCTGATAAAGATGCCTGGAATATTCCGCACAGCCAACATAGAATGGCTAATATTAAAGTTGATGTTTTAAAAGAAGCTAATGGCACACTTTACGACGAGCACAAGAAATTCATCAGAACTTTCGATTCTCGCTGGCGAGATGAAAATATTGTATTGATATTAAGTGCCATTGCTCTGTTTTCCCCTGAAAGGTCTAAAGTCATACACAGCGATGTTATTAAACTTGAACAAGTAAGTTATTTATTATTACTTGAAAAACGATAGATAACTCATATTTCTTTTGTTATTGTTACAGAATTCCTATTATTATTTATTGAGGCGGTATTTGGAAAGTGTATATCCAGGATGTGAGGCAAAATCAAATTTTTTAAAATTAATCCAAAAAATGTTAGAACTGCATAGGTTAAATAAGGAAGTCGTTGAAGTCTATTTAAATGTTAACCCATCGTGTGTGGAGCCATTGTTGATAGAGATATTCGACTTGAAGAATTGAATAGATCTACTTGTTAAATTATACATTCGTCAATGTGATGATGCACGTAGTGCGTAAATTATATTTTTTACATTTAAAGACTTCTCTTTTGAAATATATCGAAAAGTTCGCTCACGCGATTGTATGTTTTTATATGTTTGAACTGTTGAATTATTCAATGTTTATGAAGATTTCATTACGAACGAATTACCGTAAGTACGATTCACAATGTTAAGAATTATTTTTCATGCATGTACATAGTAATTTCGGAATATATTTTTATTTTAGTTGAAAAAAATCAAGTTATAATTTTTATATAAATTTTATTCTGTAGTTAGAATTTTTAAGATTGAGACTCGACATGTAGTTTTGAATTTCAACACTTACTATCAAATCTATTTTATGCATATAAGCAAATATTTTAATATGTGAATAAAGATTTGATACATCAATTTTGCGAATATCTTATGTATAGTATTTTCATAATCGGTTCGTATCTCTTCAAATGTAAGTTTTTGTGTCTACACAAAAGTTATGTAAAAGCAATAAAACATATTTTTAGTAAAACTCATGTACCTTCAAATTCAGCTCTGTTCCGTGCCAAAGTTAGTTTTGATTTTCGGGAGGGCGATAAGTGTTTGAGCGAAATAAAATTCCAGTGATTATTATAACCAATATTATTGTTACAGATAGTGATACGAGGAGAAATAACAAAGAGAACAAAAAAATTATAAAGTAAAGAAATCCTTTTAAAACCACGCAAATGATGGATATTGTCCAGTCAGTCGCGGTTTTGAGTATTTCAAAGAGTCCTAACATTTCTTTTAAATTTTGATGTTTTGAAGGTTATTACTTGTTAATTTTGACATTTTTAAAACCTAAACTGATCTTGGTTAGAGGCTTCGAGGCCTTAGAGCTAAATATAAAAATTAATTGGAGTCGTGCATTTGTTTTGTTGGATTGTTTTTTTTTTTTTTTTTTTTTTTCGTCTATACATTAACGTAAGCGTAAATATAATCTACATACAAAATTACATTTCATGGATGTATTTACATGTATAAACATATTTTCTTTTTTTTTTTTTTTTCTACAACTTAATCTAAAATAATATCAAAATTTTGCAGAATCATTTCTCTATTTGAATTATAGTTAATTGAAATAAAATAACTGACGCTGAAATTCGAGGAGCCATGTAAAAAAGTGGTAAACTATACACACCGACATACGGCACTAACAGGAAGGGTATGGTCAAGATCGCGTGTCACGTTCTTTACCATCCATTATTTTGCAGAAGAAAATTTCACGTTCTACCAAGTAAGGGGTTGTGTAAAAAGATAAATAACAAACAATCGACGATTAGATAAAAGCAAACGAATGCAGCGATTGTAAAAACTAAAAATAATTTTATTAAAACTGGAATTTCTAAGATACCTCATCAATGATACAATTCTCGTGTTTAACAGACAATTGTATAATACACGATACCCTCGAAATCATATGCAAAGTACCTACGCAAGTACATTTTTACATTATATGTATACCTGTATCCGCTAACTAAACAATTTTGAAGATACGACTAAAATGTAATAACTACGCAGTGGTGTAATTGTTGTCTTGTAATGGCAAATGAAGAATAATCGCATCGAGCGCGTAATATACACTATGTAGCGCGCGCGCAGTGACGCGACTCGAGGTGTGGAATTTCAGCCGGTGTGGACAAAAGAAAAAAAAAAAAAAAAAAAAAAAAACAAAAAAAAAATTAAAATTTCAGGCGAGCCGACTGTTACAACAATTTGTACGTGTCGTGCGTTACATATATCTAACGTAAAAAGCCATTGTAACACGCGCGATGAACGTCACAGGTTGTTTTTTCGAGCAAGAGTCGCACCAGATCGGCGGCAATTATCTGATCTCGATCTGCTCGACGCCATTGGGCACTAAACGGGAAGCAACACAGGATGAGGCCGTTTTCGTCGGTGGAAGATTTTCACGCTTGTAACGATAAAACTCCTCGGTGTTTTGGTCAAAGCTCTTTATCATGGTCACGCAGTTGAGCTTGTCCGCGGCTATGTAGCACGCACCCAGCGCCGCCGAGGTCGTCAACTTCAGCAACGTCAGCTCGTCGACGAGGCTCCTCTTGTGGATCTCCTCGATGAAGCCCTCCTGCAGGTACACCCACGACTTCCACACCGAGCCCACGCATATCACCTTCAGTCCACCCTTTTCCAGCTTCAGGTCCTAAAGTGGGCCCCAATGTTAATATATTTGCATAATGTTGTATACTCGATTGATATTGTGTGCAACACGTACGTTGTGGGCCTTGGCCGAGACCGCGGTCACGTGTTTGGCGAGCATGACCCCGGCCTCGTGGAAGAGCTTGAGACAGAGGGGGTCGGCCCTCTCGCAGCCGAGGGCCAGCTCCTTGGTGAACATGGCGAACTTGCACTTGTTGAAATTGGCGTACAAGTGGGGCAGCATGCTCTGTTGGTCCGTCACCTTGAAGTACTCCTGCATAGCCGGCCAAACGTACGTGATGGGCGCTGGTGCTTGCAGTAGACCGTCGAGATCGTCGAACACGTACTTGCACGCCCGGTGCGACAGCCAGTAAGCTGATACACACACGCATCGTTATTTTAAACAATTTGTCGTCAAATCAAAAATCTCTGCCCGTACTTGGGTCGTTGGGCACAATTGTTATATATACATTTAAAAGAACAACTATTCGTTTGCCACTGTTTGCAAATACAATGGAGAAACAAATTTAGTTTTTTTTTTTTTTTATTCCTTCAAGTAATAAGTAATGCACTGTTTTGCTGGAAAATAATTTTGTTGAGCACTGTGTTGTAGGTAAAAAAACATGTACCTTTTTTTTAGCATAAATACATAAATATCACTTTGAGTAAAAAAAATTACGTATCCAAGAAAAAGTATCCGTGCCCATCAAGTAACGATGATGATGGGTGCACGACGTCAGGAAATAAAGGGGATCGCGTGTAGACCAAGGTACATGTAAGAAAAATAATAGCCACCAAGGCAAACATTGGCGTCGAAGCCAGCCGGTGTCGAATTACATGTAGTATTATTACTAATAACACTTGCACGTCTAATCCTCCTTTTCTTTCGTTGGCGCAGATAGCGAGGTAGAAATAATAATTAATGTACAAAAGGGTTTTCCGCCAGTGTAAGTGTACAAAAGAGTGGCTCACCGCTGCCCTCGTCGCCCATCATGTGCCCCCATCCGCCGCAGCCGTAGGTCTTGCCGTCGGGGTTGATGAGAAGCGCGTTGCTCCCAGTGCCGGAGATGAGGACGACACCGCCATTGGGAAGGCCCGTCCTGAGACTTCCGAGGGTGTCCGAGCCGATGGTGTAGTCGCGCGAAGCCGTCGGGTAGAGCTGATGGAGGGTCGTGGCCAGCAGTTTGTTGCTCTTCTCCTCCTCGCAGCCGCTCAAGTTCAAGCCCTGCACAACAAAGTCACGCAGTTATCGTCCGTTTCGCAACTGCTCTCCCGACTTTTGCTCTACTTTTTTTTTCTTTTTTTTTTTTTTTTTTTCCACGTAGCTCATTGTGCACGCTGCGGGTGGTGTACCACATCTAGGGGATATTCCCCCGTACCCGCACGCGCCGCGAATCGAGGCTTTTGCGCGTTTGGTTTTTCGCTTCGCGTCCCACTTTTGTCGCTCGCTAAATTTGTTGACTAGTGTATACACTACTGGGGCGAATCGGTCGTTTCACTCGTTAAATGAGAATTAATTTTTTTTCTTTCTCTGTCTCTCAACGAAACCACTGCATTCCAAATGAATTGTTGTTTTCTTTTTTTTCTTTTTTTTTTTTTTTTTTATTTTTGCACCTGCGGAGAGTTTTTCATCCCGCGTGTTTATATATACGTGGTGACGATATCCCACTCATTTCAGAAATGTTACAAACTAAAACGTTTCGCTCGTACATATCGTTTATCGGCTCTTAACTTATCCGACGAATTCGAACTATTTTCTCGCGACGCTGAGAATAACGAAAAAAACAAAGAATACACACACGTACATGTAGAGTTGCAGCGCGCGCGTAAAAACAAAATGCAACGCCAGTGGAAAGATGATACCGCGACAATTGGAATTGACGTATCAATATAAATGTGACGTCGATGGCCAATTAAGCCTCGAGGAATGAAACACGAATCGGCGTTGGCTTCGGAGCTTTTGCGGCGGTGCGTGTATATATATACATACATGTACCTACATGCGTCGGGGACGCGAACATTTTCACGAACGCAATGAGGAAATGATGATTTATGGCGCTCTAACAGCTCTCGCTAGGGGACGCCTAATCTTCTCCTTCTCGAATTTTCATTGCCCGTGTGCCGTGTCTATATATATATATGTTTCTTTTGACCATTCGTCGCGTGATTTTCCGCAAAAATTGCCTCGGTGATTGACAATAGGGAAAAATCGAAAGAAAAAAGGCTGTCATCATCAATAACGAGGTTTCTTTTTTTTTTTATATCTTTCAGGTGTCGCTCGATGGACGAGCAATTAAAATCGAATTAGCAACTCGTTCCCGCGCAAGTATACACCTTAACGTATATATACTAATGCTCGGAGGAGAAAATTTTCAATCGAAAATGCACACACCGAGGACTACAGTGCGGGCATCGATTGCCGGTGTTATTCCACGAGTGAAGATAGAATAGCTCTGGAAATTTCACGGACGGGATGGATGGTATAGCTAGATTTATAGCGCAGGTAACTATATACTGATAGGTGCTTCGAAAATTATGATCCCGTCAGGAGGATTTATACCGATTGGAACGATTCCACTTTGCTCAACGCGAGCGAATTCAAACATATGACTTGTATACTCGTGATGATGATAACATTATACTTACTACAATGTCGTACGGAACCGCTTGGGGCATGCCGATGTCCGCCTTGGACCTGACTATCATGTCGTTGATCCTGGCTGCCGTTTCCTCCATGCCCAGCGCCTGTGGGTCCATTCATTTTGCCATTAATTTCAAAAAAAATTGAGGAAAAAAAATCCGAGAGCTATACGTATATATAATACAACAGCAGCAAAAGGCAAAGCGACCACGTATGAGCAGCGTCGCGTGCACGTAGTCGTTGTATTGATCGGATGGATCTGACCGCATCGACTCCAATTGTAAGTACGCGCGGACAATTGCGTAAGCGGTTACATTGCGCGAAAAGGAGCGGATCGGAGAACAGAGATGTGTAGCGGCTCGGCGAGAGCAAAAAGGAACGAATCTTTGTTGCATTTTTTCCTTTTTTTTTTTTTTTTTTTCATCTCGACAAATATTTACTTTTGTGAAAAATCGAAAAAACGAGGACGCGCGAGATCTTTGCGACAAAAGGCGGTGGTTTGACAGCCAAAAGAGAGAGATCGAGAAAAGCGGAAGGCAACATTTTCCCGCTCGGTGAACTTGCGTGCCGCGCGTTCGTTGGAATTGTACGGCGGCTGTGCGTATATAGGTATAGTACTTCTCTCATTGATTCATCAATGAACGCGATGTTTTTCGTTACGCGCTTTTAAAATAATTGTCCGACACTTTACCCAGTGATTCGTGTGAGGGCCCCTGACTTCGGCCAATTTTTTGCCCCTTCCATCCACGACGAACAATGTCGAGTGTGTCGCGCCTCTGCAATTTAACAATTTTTCGCTCTGCATTAATACATCATACATCGTCATCATTATCATCATCATCATCATCATTATTATTTTTATGATGTTGGTGTTACTATACCATTACAATCATTTAGTATTTCGTTTAACAAGATAACTAATGGTTTTTCTAATGGAGTATTGGTAGATCACGTGAAAACTACGGAGCTCTAGACAGAGAAAAACGTTTCAACGTGTAATTTTCGGGTACATCAATCAACGAAATGGTCGACACGTTTCATCGTACCCAACTAAATACTCTACTGAAAATTTATTTTCCAAACGTTTGATAAACTCGAGTTTACTTTCGTTGTGATTTTTTCTCGCTTCAACCGGAATCAATGAATATGGAACGACGGATACCCCAAGCGTTACGTTTTCAATCGCACGGAGAAAGGTCGACAACCCATGGATAATATAATCTCGGTTCGCTCCAATTGTACTGAAAGTAAATCTAATTGCAACTTATCGTATTGTCAAGCATATTTTGCGTATACATCGTGGCAGGCCCCAATAAACGCGACCCATACCACGAGGCTTTTATCTACTGCAGACACGGAAAATCATGTCTTTAATTTTCATACAATCCATATACACGTGTAAGTACGCGTGTCGTGTATTGTAATTCATACTTTCACTCGATTCATTTTGCTTTCGCCTTCAATGTATAACTATATCATTAAACATGTTAATCTTGGGATGCTCTGTTAACTTAGTCGATTATTTTATATTGGAATAATTCATACTATGATGGGAGCGTGAATTTTAATTATTCACAAAAGCGCGAAAATAATTTTTTTTTTTTTAATGCATCTCAATGGTTTCTAAAGTGCAAATCAAAATATGTTAATTGATAAAAAAAAAAAAAGACTAATCCACAAAAACTACAAGACGCAAAAAGTCTCGGGACAGATTTAACGGGCTCTCAAGATCGTGCACTTTGAGAGCTGATAATAAATATTTGGTCATTTCTTAAAGACGATGTTCAAAATTTTACAAAAAAAAAAAAAAAAAAAACACGTTCTTAAAACGTGTTATACCACAACACGCTTGGATTGACCGTAGGTATAGTTTAAATTTTAACGATCGGCTTATCGACAAGCCCGAAGCTATTAGGTAAAAATTAGTGTTATCAGTCAAGTTCACGTTACGCAATACTACAAATGAATTCTGAATTTTTTAATTTTTTTTATTTTTGTCAATCAACCGATCTCGCAACTCGCAAGATAAAGTATTTACCTCCAAAGTTTCAGGAGTCATCATTGTCTTTGTATTTCAGGCAGATAAGTATCATTTCGCAGTATAGACATACACATACAAGTAATGATTTTACTAATGTAAGACTCACCCCTCGAGGCCCCCGATCCGCATGTCCTCTGGATTTTTGTTGAGGCTCTCGGTGGAAACAGCCGTCTGTCCGTTTGTTCTCTCCATAGCGAAGGAATCCTACTCCTCTCCCGTCAGAGCCCAAATTTCATCGATCCGCTCGAAGTGGCATCGGGTGATCGACAACGCGAGCTGCAGATATAGCCAAGCAAAAAAAAAAAAAAAAAAAAAAAAAAAAAAAACAGATAATCCACAAGTCGAAAAAGAGGCGCCAGTCACTTTAAATAGCGATCTTTTCGGGTGGTGGCTCTCGCAATGACGAGCGATTGCGGCGTTGTGAAACCGATCGGCCTCTCCCGCGAGAAATCGAAAATAAGTTCATAAGTTCAGATTAAGTTTGCCCATGCCTGTATGAAATATCGCCACCGAGTATGCATCTTCGAGCCCGTTTCAGATAACGCAGCCCGAAACAAATGTCAAATAGGGGAGTCGTCTAACGAGTCGCAAGGTTTCTTTTTTTTCCTTTTTTTTCTTTTTTTTTTTTTTTTTTTTCGTACCGAGCGTTATCTACGAGCGCAAACGCTTATCTTTTTCGGGAGACCCGAGCGCTACCGTAGATATAAACGGGGGAGAATTAAAGCGTCGATGAATAATTATTGGAAACTATAATACGCGAGCGATGACGTAACGGGGAGCACTTTCTTTCTACCCCCCCCCCCCAACATCCGTTACCATTATCGCCCTTGTTCTTCTTCTTCGCTCTTTATTTTCCAAAGAAAAATACAAGAACAATAAAAACTAAACGAAACTGTTTTTTTCCGTTCGTTGTCACTGTGATCTACATTTTGCGGTACAATCGGCAGTTGGCGTAAAAGTTAAGCTTTCCGCGCCTAGATTTTCACGCGGTACCACACAAGCTAAGAACAGTCGACACGATAACGCGGAGCGCGACTGAAATTTCGAAAGGGAAAGCGAAGGGGCATTCCGAAACGAGATTTGAAGGGCGTTTATACAGTCGCCAGCCGAACTCTCTTGCTTTCCCAATTAAAATCGGCCGTGTATGCTCCCATCTGTAGTTTAGAAACGAGACGACAGGCAGTAGGATGAAATAATGAAATTCACCGGAAACTCACCTTGAGAGATCGGTAGGAAATCGGTTCGAAGCGTGGCGCCGAAGATCGGCAAGATCGAGGCACGGGCGAATCCGATCAAGGTCGCGGAGCTCCGAAATTCCATCGGAATCTCTCAGCCGGCACGTGTCGAGCGCAAACAATAAACACGGGAAGACTCGATTCTCGGAGTCCCGGAAAAAAAAGATGAGGAAGAAAGAAAAAAAAATCGCGCAAAGCTTTTAACGACACACCGTGCGAGTGTTGCAGTACGCGCGTGTGGGCGTGCAGGGGGGACTACGGGCCGTACGGGAGGTGCAGGTGAGAGGACGGGGAAAGTTCCCGAGCGAAAAAGGAGAAATCGGCAATAAAAGCAAAACCGAGGCTAGGCAGTCACATACGGTCGTAGGTACCTTACCTTGGCGTAAAAGTGCGGCCTCGCCGAGGGGAGGGGGTTAGATTTCGATGGACGGCGTTTGTATCTCGGCAAAGGCGGCTAAACTCCTCGTTCCCCCTTCTTTGGATCCGTTGTAGCGTCGCACACGTGTCGGCCGATGTATTGGTACGCGCGGCGATTCGGAAGGAGGAGGCGGAGGTCCTTATCGTGCAAGCTCGACTTGTTGACTGTGCCAGGTCTGGTGAGCTGCCGAGCGACTGTCCACGCGACGAGGAGGACGGCGATAGCGACGGCCCGTGGCGGCCGGGTACGGTATCAACACACACATATAGGAGTACTTATACTCGGCGACTGCCCGCGGAAGTAGACAGACGAAAATTCGATAGCACTGACAGCGAGGTTATACTTTATGTACGCGGTGAAGGGTCTAGACGGATCGATATCGGGGAAGGGCCTCTGTCCATATACTTTTTTTTTATTTCAATTTTTTTTTTCAATATAACGGTTTGTACCACTTTAGGTCATTAAACGATATAGCTGAGGGTTTTCTGAAAAGGGAGGGGAAGTGTAGTTCCGTTTATGGGGAGGAGGGGCGTTTGAGTTTGATTAGGAGATATAAAAAAATGTGTAAATGAAACTTGTTTCATGATATATTTTTCGGGGTAGTGGGACAAGACAAGTTGGTAAAGTACAAACGGATTGCGATCATATCAGCTGCCGGAATTTGACGGCGACCAGAGACCTCTTACATCTGCGCCTCGTAAGCTTATAAGCTCAATACGCTTACTGAACAAGATGAGTAATTATAATGTTGTTGTATTATGTATGCTTATTGTCTATCGATAACAATTGGACTTGTTTTTTGATGATCTCTCATTTATTGGAAATATGTATATTGGTGTGAGAGATCATCGGAATACTTATCTCATCAAGATTTTAAGATCAGATAACATTTGTTTGGGTGTAGAAAAAATTACTCACAGTTAATTTATGAAAGTGAAAGTATGAATCATTTGTTTTACCTATAGCAAATATTTACTTTTACAATTGGAACTTGTAACTTAAAAGTTTCAATGGTTTAAGCTGTTCGTTACTGATGAGCGATCGTAAGTATGCGTATAGTTGATGATTATTAACGGGTGATTCATTAACGATCTCGTTGCCGATCGGTAATTACTGTTGATGGATATTAAATAACGTCCGATAAAATACTTTCCACGTGGTTAGAAAAATTATCTGTGATTAAGGATTAATGTATTATAATTTTTGTCCCAGCCTAAATAAACTATTGAATAAAAATGTATTGAAAATATTTTAGGGTTAGCACTGAAGGCATGTGTGAATTCTTATATTTTGATATTAATGGAATACAAACTTTAAGTTGAGGTTGCAAAAAAGTGATTTAAAAGAGTATACAATGAGATCTGAGAAAAAATTAACACATACGAAAAAGTGACAGGTTAAATCAAAAACATGTAAAAATTAACGTGTGTTTATATGTTTGAAACAAATAGCGCTACTAATATGAGCTTCATACATCTAAAACCCGGTTGAAACTACTTTTTTGTGTGAAATCAAACTTGTGTGAAATATCCTCCACAAAATCAATGTACTATAATGTTACATACAAAAAACAAAAAAATAACTGATTGTGGAAAATTTTGAAAAAAATATAACGAATAGTGCATTAAAAAAAAAAAAAAAAAAAATTGTTAATTAAACAATACATTGAACAAGTTAGAGAAAAGTATAAGAAAAAATCGAAAAGGATACAATAATTATTTTAAAATATACCGCCAGATATACTTATCGGTAATAGGGAAATCTGTTGGTTAACATTGGCGTAAGGATAAATTATCTTAAATGTTTACAACACCCTATTGAAAAAAAAAAAAAAAAAATTAATAATAACATTTGCAATGAGATAACTTGTGGTAAGAGAATATTAAGAGGAAACTATTTGAATAAAGAAGTACTCAAACGGTACCCTGCAGAAATCGGTACCCTGAGAACATAACATATACCTATGGACGATACCGATGTAAACCTAAAAATAAAATTTGTTTTAAACATATGATAAGATACATTATTTGGTTACGAAATAATTTTATGTACACGTAAAATAAGCTTTAATAATATTGAAAAAAAATTTTGCTTGCCGATATTGATCCAGACTCACCGATCTATACCTTACGAGCTTTACTGATGCTCGCGGTTTGCTTATTACCGAATCCACCGATAAATCGTTTCATTTTCAGTTCTGACTCCATACACTTTGGACGGTCGGTGTCGTCGTCGTCGCCAGTATCAGCGATTGACAATATTGAGCAAAATCGTGTACTCCACTCTGCGCAGCTGCTGTATATATATTTTGCAACACACTTTGCGATCCTGGCCTATACACATTACACATCCTATTTACCTGTACTTTATATATACCCTCTGGTATACCTAACGCAGTCAGTGTGTTCATAATTGTCAGATCGACTGAGTCTCGCCTATAGTATACAAGTAACTCACGCACTCATTGGTAGGTATAGTATACGGGGCAAAACGAGCAGGTTGTACGTCGAACAGTCTGTGCGGATTGACGGATGACGAACAGCAACCACCGCTCGTACGGGGACAGGAGTAGCCTATACTCCCACGCACACTTGCCTTAACCTAAGCCGAGTCGCGGAACAACTCGTGGTGGTGTATATATACAGAGCGGACTGGTGCAGCAGCAACCGGAGCGAGAGCACACTGCAGGCATCAGGCGTTATTAAATTAAACCGGTCGTGTCCGTTTGTAACGCGCTCGCGTGTGTGTACCTGTACGCGCGTGGACCAGGAGGTGCAGTGTATAGGCTCGACGAGGATGCTACTGGCGGAGGGACACGGTGGCAACAGCAGCGATGAGGAGGTCGGCCCTTCCGCGGAGCACGGGGTACAGCTCGACGGTATGAGTAGGGGGCACTTGCAGGTGCGAGCCTAATAGAGCTCCAAGACGACGGGTGCAGGAGAGCCGCGCCCCCCTGGCAGCTCGAGGTCCTCGGGCAGCGGGAGCGGGGCCGTGACGGGCACCAGCGGGAGCGTGGGCGCGAGGAGTCCGGGAGGACATGCAGGGAGCGGGCCGCCACCGGCAACATGGCCGCAGGAGCCGCCGCGCGTCAGATGCTCGACTTCCTGAGTAAGCGCAAGTACCGGCGACGGAAAGCGGCGGGCCTGTCCCGGACTCGGCACCACCACCTCCTCCTCGGGGTACTCGTATGTTGGGTGGCGTCGTTGCCCCGTGCCCCGGCCCTCGAGGCCCCGAATAACGGCGCGGTGCTGCCGGGGACGGCCGTCGGTGGCCTGTCTGCCGTCTACAACGGCTCGACCTGCGACCTCGACACCTGCCTCAATGGCAGCTGCGTCAACGGTAGCTGCGTCTGCCGCGAGGGCTGGCAGGGCCCTAGCTGCCAGTACTGCGCCAGCAAAGTCCGGTGAGAATCTATACCTCCTTGTTCCTTCTTTTGATCTTCGTCGTCGTTTGGCCACTGTGTCATTGTACTCTTTATTTGTCTGTTTGTTTATTGAAAGCCACCAGCACGTGACATGCGATCGCATGGTACATGCTTACATGCTAAAACTAATTTATAATCAAATTTTATGGCCCCTTGTTACTTTTTGCACTTTCCAACAAAAATATTTAAAAAAAATAAACATCACGATATTACTTACCATTTGTTATTGTTTTCTCACTCGACCTACATTGAGATCTAATGAAAATATTTGTATGTATTACCAATAATAAACTCGGATGTTCTGTGTACGAATTCGATTGATTTTACTGTATTGCTTGGGTTGGTTTATCGTGTTTTAATATTTATTTCCTTGCATTGGGAAATCAATTTTTAAATGTTATATTACAAAGGTGCCCTTACAAGGTGCGTATTAAAACTTTGACATTAATTTGAATTTGACGTTAATTTTTTTTTCTTTTTTTTTTTTTTGTACCGTTGAGTGTTTTTAAAACGTGTGTTTTGATTTGTTTCCTATCGGAAAAATATTTCATGACATTGAGATGTTGTGTTTATTGGTTGTAGCTGTGCCTTTTTTTTATCACTTTGCTGCCGCAATCGCGTAAAAGCATAATTTTTTACATGTTTTTCTTACATAAACGAATCCAATACATTCTTTTTGAAGTATTATGAAAATTACTTGATACATATAAAATTCGATGATATCATTTGACGATATTTTTTACATTCTTACGAGCTCCGACAATTTTTTTTTTCTGCGCATTATCTTTCGCCAAAAGCACATGATTTTATCCTGATCAAAGCCTTCATATCTCACGTCACCTCTGAAAGGCGCTTAACAGAAAAAATATAGCGATATGAATGGGTTGCTTCGAGGAACAAAGTTAATAAAAAAAGATAAAACGAACATTTTTGAGGCTAATGCGCTTAACTTAATCTGCAGAAATGGGAAAAATATCATTCATACGTAAAGGTACGCATTTTTTTTTTTTTCCAAGCTCTTGCATACACAAGTAGGTGGACAGACAGATAGTAAACATATAGCGATCGCTGTGCTAGTTGGGTCGTACGCAAAGTGTGCTCTAGTACATAATAGAGTCTCAGTCACAGACTGCGCGTATATTGTGTGCAACGTGTCAGAAAAGGCCCAAGGCAGACGACCATCTTTCGTCGTGTCAAACCAATGAGTACCTACTTATCTCGATTACTTTGAAATGTGTGAAACTCAAGTTTGATCGGACCCCTGGTTCAGGGAGATTATTTAAGGCTCATTTTTTCTTCCGAAGCCACTTAACATCTCACAAGTAGATTAATATTGAAACAAATGGAGTTCAGCAATAATGTATTGATGAAAAAACTCATAGTCGGAAGATAAACGTTTTGACATCGTATAAAAATTTCATCCGTTGAGTTCGCCGTGTACGTGTAAAGCGCCCGTTAACGGTAAATCGGTCATCCCGTAATACCGATCATCGCATCTGTCCACTCTATACCTGTAGCGTCGCGACGAGACATTTTTAAAGCGTAGTTTCCAGCTGCGTGTTGAATCAGGAAAAAACGTCTGGTGGGTAATGAGACCGAACGAAGAAAAGAAAAAAAACTATGTCGCTTCGCGTGATTCCGTTAAAGTCTTTAACAAATCTCTGGTAAAACAACCAATGATTTTATTCTTCTTTTGTTTAAAATTTTGGTGCTTTTACGAGGTAAACTTCTTCGGCGAAAAGTGTCAAGTTACAACTTCCTTTATCAACACCTACATATTTTCGCCCACTATTTCACGAAGGCCCGAGTTGAATGCAAATCGAGAGAATAAAACTTTTCTTTTCAAATCGTTCCGACACCACCTACAAAATTAGTCATCCCCCGCGGTTACTCGATCCTCGGTAAAGTTTATTGAACGCGGTTCTTTCTCTTATTTTTGCCACGTTTTGGTCTTTGATGTAAGTACTTGATACATGTACCACGAAACAAAAGCTATAGGTATAACACTTTTATTCTCATTTCACGTAATAACTAATTTCATCAGCGCAAATTCACTCGCGCAATAATACATCACATTTTATTACCCAAAGAGCTGCAATAACGTTTATAACGATCAATTTCTAAAAAATAGGAGCTAGGTACAATTAGTATAAATAAATGCATTTCTCATATCATTATTATTATTATTAGATAATGACTATTGTATAAATTACGCCGCAGAGTTGAATAATTGAGGTGTATCGCGATAATACGTAATGGATATACGCATACGTACGCGCATGTATGCCCCAATTGATTTTACATAATCGGATGGTTTCGCTTTCTCGCGCTGATCTTTTGGGTAGTCAAAAAACAGCTGACCACCCAATGTGCGTTACTTTGTTAACAAAAATTCCAACAAATACTATCCTCTCATAAGAGTGCCCAGTCGAATCAACAACAATAAAAGAGCTGTGGCGCAAGAGAGCGATAAATAAAAGAAGCAAAATACGCCGAAGAAGAATAAATGGGTTCCGTGCATTGCTTATATATCATACACCAGTGCAGAGTCACTGCATCGGTATACACCCGCCCTCCCTCGCACCAAGAGAGAGAGAAAGAGAGTTGCCCTGGAAGCGGCTAATTAATCCGACACCCTTGACGAGTCGTTGGAAGCAAGCAGAAATATGAATCGTCGTCTCGAAGCTCCTGCTCGCGAGGCGCGACCTCCTTGCCCCTCGTGTCGTATACACCGAAGCCCATATTATTACCTATACACAGAACAGCAATTACGTGCAGTTGCTCTCCGGTCTACCGACGAGAGTTCGAACTCAACTCTGCACGCGTAATTACGTAATCGCGTTAATAACGCCAATCGCGTCGAGTTTATTAGCTCCTGACGGGTGTTTGGCGCGTTTGCGTGCTATATGTAAGTTTTTAGGACCCATACTTTTTTTTTCTTTTTTAACTGAATAGGTTTAATAACATGTAAAAAAAAAAAAAAAAAAAAAACAAACAGTGAGTAAGGAATATTGTCTAATTGGCTGTGTCGTTTAATGGTGTTGTCCACAGATTGTCGGAGCAGTCGGGCAGCATACACGACGGAGTGGGCAATTACACGACGAACGTCAAGTGCTCGTGGTTGATCGAGAGCAGCCCCAACTCGACGATTCGCATGCACATCGAGGAATTCGCGACGGAGTGCGGCTGGGACCACCTGTACATATTCGACGGCGACGGGGTCGAGGCGCCCCTGCTCGGTGTCTTCAACGGGCTCATGCACAAGGACGATTACCACATAAGACGGGTGCCCGAAGTGACCGCCCGCTCGGGCAGTGCCCTCCTCCACTTTTACTCGGACGTCGCTTACAACATGAGCGGCTTCAATATCACTTACAAGATCAACGCCTGTCCCAGCAGGTATTGTGTTACCCTTTGCTTTTTTCTTTTTCCTTCCCCGTCCCTACAGTATTTAGATACATATATATATATACTGATGGTGCACCTTTGAATCTCAGTTTTCACTTTTGCTAAAGGAGCAGCCATCCCCGGTGTCATCTGGACTACCTATACAAGCGTCGATACTTTTTTTTTTTTTTTTTTTTTTTTCTAACCATCTTTAATTCCCACGCGTTTGGAAACGAAAAAGTGCTCGGTTGATGTCAAAACGATCTCCCGGTGTAAATGCATGGAAGGTGTGTCCATCGGAGTTGGCAAAAAAAGCGGGGCGCTGAGATTTGCATGGCGCGACTCCGTGTAGCTAACGTACATATATATACACGCGGCAGCTCTCTTACGGAGTCAATCAAATTCATCTGCTCCCTCCCGAGCTGCTCGTTGATCCGGCCGGCCGGGGAGTAAATTATCAACGAGGGGCGCATCTCCTCTCCACACGCGCAGATCCTGTACGCACGTACCTACTTACCCATGCCCGCACTTGTGTTACTGTCTGCGTTTTTTTTTTTTTTTTTTTTTTTCTCAAATAAGCATTCAGTCGTGAAAAAAATTGTTAATCAACGTGACGAGCTTTTTTGCTGCCACTTTTGACGTATGCTTACGTAAACGCAGAGGTGAGAGCAACAGTTCTTTGAGCTATGCGTGACAAACGATCTTCATTAAATTTCGTCTTTCGAGCGGCTCAGCGCCTCGTTCGATTTGTCAAACGGTAAAACGAAATGAAAAACCTACTACGATCTAATCCGTTTCATAAGTCAAACGGTCTATGTTGTTCGTTACATTTGCATTAAATTCATACGATTCGTTTAAATTTTAGCGATTAATATCCATGCGCGTTTGGGTCTCGTGAAAAAACCTTTTAAACTTAACGAGATTTTCCAAGGTTCGGTGAAAGTTAAAACGAGGATTCGTTGCAGCTTGATCGCATCACGTACAAACGGAATGTAGCAGTACGACTGTTTTGAGTGAAATTATTCATGAAAATACTGAGAAATTATCAGTGAAAAGTACCGTTTTTGGAGTAATGGGGGGACCAACGAGCATCATGAATTTTCCATGGGCAATTAAAAATCAGAGGGTAAAAAATATTTATCATTTTTGTTGATTACACTCGTCAATTTGCTTAAAAGATGATTTCGCATTGGTACCGCTTGACAGTAAAGGTAACTCATTTTTCTCATAAATCTTTGTACTCCCACCACGTGATCTAAAACAAGATGTGTGTAAAAAATGTTTACACGTATGATAAAATTTATGAACAATTAATTTTACAAAGTCTATGCCGTGTATTTCACTACAATTTTTCCGAGGATTTGTCTCCGAGTGTACATTTATATACAAAGCATCGTCGTAACGGTACTTTCGACCGACTTTTCTCAAAACAAGTTATTATGTACTTGCGTCCGAGTACGAGGCAACTCATCGCGACAATTTCCAATTGAAAAGTTAGTTTGCGCAGGTACTAATATTGCACGCCCAAAACAAAAATATCCATGCTTATGAGCGAGTTATGAAGCTCTCGTGCTCCGATATGCAGTTCAGCACACTATTTCACGGCAAACGGAGTGGCCATAAACTCTAGGAGACAGATAAAAATAATCTTGGCGGTCCTCGAGCGAAGAATCGAGCAAACAGCGTTAAATCCAGGCTCGGTTGGAGCCGGGAGCAATAAAAACGAGAGCATGGCAAAACCACGTGTGTCCGCGTGACGAGCAAACGCCAATAAAGCAACGCGCCGCGTATTATCTAATGTACAAGTATAGGTACTTACCGGGAAAAAAGAGAAAAAAAAAAAAAAAAAGATATACCAGGACGAAATGAGTTTTGCGCATCGTCGTACAGTTGTCTCGTTTTCTCGCCCAAAGAGTATAAGTATAGGCGAGGAAGAAAAAGAGAGGAATCAATGCGGGTTGCAAGGCTGGTGCTTCTTTCTCGTATTACTTACTCTCTCTCTCTTTCCGCGTCTCCCTCCCTCCGAGGGTAAGAATAAGTTGCCGCAGGCCTTTTGAGTTTACTGACACTTGGCCGAGCGCAATATATTTATATATACTTACTCTGTCTGACTCATGAGCCGTGCAACAATAACAGAGTCTCAAGCATATACATATATATACGTACCGTTTAATACGTATATATTATACCCCACTTGCTAACAATTCGCTAACGATCCTTTGTAAGGAGACGCGATTCTAAAACAGGCTCGAGCTAACTCGTACTCAGGAGTGGTCGATCGTTGACTTTTCTGCCACTGCGAGTACAGTAATTGTCATTTTCGGTCCATCCTCATTCATCAACGACAATGAAAGGACTTTTGATTATTTATTCTGCTAACATAATTACCTGTATGGTTCGTGGGCACGAAGGCAAGTAGCTTTTGTTTTATGGAACCTTACGAGCAAAAAGTAGGAAATTTTTCTGTCCGTTAAGTTGAGTTCTTGATGTAGTAAAACTGTCGATTGAGCGTCCAACATCATCAGATGTGCGATAACGAAGGTGTTTACTTCATAGGCCACGGTTTTCCTACCGGAGACAAAAAAAAAAAAAATATTGTACGAAGCAATTTACGAGCTGCAAAAGTTTAATTATTTTCGTTCCCTGTATTAGGGACTCGAGGGTCGACTGTTCGGGTCATGGGGTGTGCATCGGTGGTGAGTGCACGTGCGACGCCACGTGGATGGGCGAAGCTTGCGACGTGGCCATCTGTCCCAAAAATTGCTCGGCGCACCAGCACCAGGGCCAGTGCAACCACGAGTGGCACCGGTGCGACTGCAACAAAGGGTTCAAAGGTAAGTCGCACTCAGAAAAAGCGCCTTTTTTTTTTTTTTTTTTTTTTCTTCGCGCTCTGCGCTATATAACGATCCCCCGTTATGTTGCATTCTCGCTATGCGCTTATACCGATCCAACAGTCGCGCTTGCATTTCCTCGGTGGGAGAGACCTCCTCGGCGAGTCGAGGCAAATTGAAAGTATATTTGTCAGGGGCATTGCACCTTGTTCGAGTTTCCAACTGTGCGGAGCTTTTAATCGGTCGATACGAATTTTTTTTTTTTAACATTTTCATTGATGCTTAATTTAATGATTTATTCTTTCAAACTTTGAAAATTGCTTTTTACATTTTTAAAATTTTTTTTTTAACGAAATCATAATTTTTTTGTCATTTGAGAAACATATGACAATGAAAATCAAACGAAAAATCGATCCGGAATCTAGAGTTAATAAAATTTTGATAGAAACGGCAATTCAATTATTTTTACGATTTGCTTGTGTAATACTTGAAATTTAGATTTTACACGAGCGGTGGATGAATTCTTTTTCTGTAAAATTTCATTCCAAGAACTCTCACGACATGCGACAATTGAGGACATTGCGTTACAAATTACAATAAACGCATAAATTAATTTAGTGACACTTGAAACATTTTGAAAATAAAAAACAACAAGTATAAATATACTTCTTGAGAACCGATTTACTGGCAGCAGTTTTTTAAAGTTCATTATGTTGTTTATTTGTTGGAGATTTCACCTTACGTGGCGAGCAAACATGATATAAATATTTTTCGTACTAATAATAAATTCCTTTACTATATAAAATATAGATGCAACAAAAATTTATTACAAGTCATTGTAAAAGAAGTTGAAATAAAAAAAAAAAAAAAATCAGGAAATCGAGACAAAACAGAAAATTTTTTACAACCCGCATCAATCAAATAATCCACGTACACCGAGCAGATCCGTATATAATAAGAGGCTGCAGCATCTTCGGACAAGTATATCCTCGCGAGAAATACGTGAGGCAGCAGTTTTCTTGGGATGTTTTTTCAGTGCTCGTAAATTATGCCACGTTACGTCGTCGCGGACTCCAGGGAACTGTACTGCGCGTCCAACTTTTTTTTATAAAACATCCATATATATATATACATCAACTTGCACGTATACATCATATATACACACCTTCTTACGCACCAACCCTCCCGCATGATGCTCCCTGATTCAAGTGTTGCGCCTGTGTACATAATTTAGCCATGTAGATGGAGTCGCTCTGTTTTCCCTCGTTCCCATTTCGAAACCTTTTTTTCCCTCTTTCTTCAATGTCCAACTTTTTTTACCACACCCTCGCTTGCCGAGCTTCAAGTATTGCCTTAAGAAACGTCAAGTTTATCAAAGCACAATACACGCGCCCCGAGTTTCAAGATTGAGCCAACGGAGATGCTTAACACTTTTAAATGGCCCCCAACGGTTGGGAATTAGAAGCACGTGAGGGACGTCGTCGCTTGTTTATCATTGGATAGCTTGAAAAAAAAAAAAAAAAAAAAAAGAAAAATGGCCAAACACGAGTATACACTTGATTGTTTTTATGTATAGGCGCCGACTGCAACCAGACGAGCGAGCAGGGTTATTGGGAGGCCATCAACTACCTGGAGCTCCCGCCCGAGGGCTCGGCGAGCCATTGCGCCGTAGTCTGGCACGATTCGCTGTACATAGTCGGCGGGGAGAGCTTCCACCGAGCCAAGATGATCTACGTGTACGATTACAACGGCAACGTGTGGGAGACGCCCCACGTGACGGGCCACAGGCCCCAGGCGAGGTACGGCCACTCGTGCGTGCTCTACGGCGACAAGATCTACATGTACGGCGGCGTCATCGAGAGCTCGGGGGTCACCAACGAGGTGTGGGCCTTTGACGTATCGTCCAAGCTCTGGGAGAACGTCACCGTACACGACAACTGCTACAACAAAACCATGTGCGGACCCCTCAAGGTATATGTTATATGTACACCCATTATACACGTATAATATTTGCAATGCGTTTCATCGTCGACGCTCGTGTTGGATTGTCATCCGTCAGGTCGCTGGGCACTCGGCCAACATCGTCCGGGGCCACAACTCCAAGGAGAAGATGGTGGTTATATTCGGACACTCGCCGCAGTACGGCTACCTGAACAACGTCCAAGAATACTACTTCGGCGCCCGAGAGTGGCAGATAGTCGAGACGTCCGGTTTCCCGGTGAAGGGTGGCTACGGGCACAGCTCGGCCTACGATCCTCTGACCAACCACATCTACGTGTACGGGGGCTACGTGTCCGAGTCCCAGGTGACGCAAGTGTTGACCAATCGTTTGTACGCGTACCGGCCGAACAAGCGCGAATGGCGTCTCCTAACGGCCGCGCCCTCGGCACGTTTCTTCCACACGGCCGCGTTCGTCAGTCCCGGTCTCATGCTCGTCTTCGGCGGCAACACCCACAACGACACGCTGCACTCGTACGGGGCGAGGTGCTACTCGGCCGACACCATCGCCTACGACGTGGTCTGCGACTCTTGGAGGCAGTACACCGTGCCCAAGGAGATGGCCGATCTGTCGAGGTACGGGCACAGCGCCACCGTCTTTGGACCCTCCATGTACATATACGGCGGCTTCGACGGCCAAATGCTCTCCGACACGCTCAAGTGAGTCCATAAGGGCACAAGGGTTATTCACACTCACAAGAACACTGTGATCCACTGTGTTTTTTGTCCGTAGGTATACGCCGGGCGATTGCGAGCACCTGAGAAACCACAGCCAATGCCTTAGCTCGCGAGTTGGTCTGAAGTGCGCGTGGGACAAGAAACGGGGCAACTGTTTGGCCGCCACCAGCATCCCGACGGGGGTTCTGCTGTCCGGTAACACGCACGACGACAAGTACATGCTCTGCGTGGACGAGACCCCACCACGCGGCATGACCTCGCACAAGGAGCTGTGCAAGCTCCTTACGGATTGCGCCGCCTGTCTGTCAACGTCCTACAAGTGCGTCTGGTGCGGTAAAAGCTGCTCCCACGAGATTTGCCGGAACATTGCCAACGCCCCTTCCCTGAGGCCCGTTGATACCTTGGACATGTGCGACCCACACAGCGGCGTCGAGTGTTACCAGTTGCACACTTGTCAAGCTTGCTCGAGCAATCCGAATTGCATATGGTCGTGGTCCAACGGGCCCGACAGGTGCAAGCCTCTCTCCGAAATTGCCATTGTAAGTACTCTGGGGCGTTTGCTTGTACAATTCATGGAAACGGGTGATAAGTAACACGGTGGCTGATGTTAAAACAAATAAATAAAGCGAAATTCGGACAAATATGTGTTCAAGGCGAGCGCGAACAATACGATGCAACCGCAGCGGTCGCTGGTGGACATTTGCCGGAGCCCGTGCGTCGAGTACACCTCGTGTCGCAACTGCACCGAGACCGAGTGCATTTGGTGCCAGAACACGGAAAGATGCGTCGACAAGAACGCCTACCCGGCGAGCTTTCCCTACGGCCAGTGCCGCGAGTGGACGACCACCCACGACAAGTGTCGCTCCACTCGGGCCAGCAACGAGTGGTGCAGCGCTCACAACTCCTGCTCGAGTTGCAGAGCCGACCCGGATTGCGGCTGGTGCGACGACGGCTCGGGCACCGGGCGGGGCAAGTGCTTGCCGGGTGGAGCTAAACAACCCAGCTACCGGAGTCCCGAGAGGTGCCCTCTCAGACGCTGGTACTTCACCGAGTGTCCACGTGAGTATCAACTTGTATATACATATGCAAATGGGAGTTTGATCTCCAAGTGGACATTTTTTTTTTTTTATTTTTTTCATTTCGCAGCTTGTCAATGCAACGGCCACAGCACGTGCTACCCCAACAGCAACGAGTGCATCCAGCCCTGCGGGAATTTGACGCAAGGTGCCCACTGTGAAAAATGCAAGCCTGGCTATTATGGAAGTCCGCTTAACGGAGCCACCTGTCAACGTGAGTATGAATAATAGAGTTCGCAAAATCTTTGGAAAAAAAAGTCAACCCAACGACTCTCCGTTTCATTGTTTGTGCAGCTTGCTCGTGCAACGACCAAGGAACGAATTGTACCAGCGAAACTGGTAAATGTTTCTGTACAACGAAAGGTATAATAGGCGACCACTGCGAGCGATGTGACGTGAGTGGACTGTATCACGGCGATCCTACGAATAAGGGATCGTGTTTTTGTACGTTTTTCTTTTTTTTTCTCTACCCACATGTCCCGGGTCGCAAATTAATGATTTGAAGAAAATCACCAGCCCAAAAATATTTTATTTTTCAGATGATTTGGCCATCGATTATCAGTTTACGTTTAATTTGAGTAAAAAAGAGGACCGCCACTACCGAGCGATAAACTTCAAAAATTCTCCCTCCAAGCAGGACGTCGACGCTGATTTCTCGATAACGTGTTCCGTAATTGCAAAAATGAACATAACGGTGAAAAAATCCAACGGCTTGGAAAAACCGTTGTTACTGGGAGCCAATTGCACGAATTTAACGTACAAGCATCGCTTCAGCAAAACCGATTATCATTTTGGTAACGAGGACAACATCACGCACACGACGTTTTACGTGTACGTGTACGACTTTCATCCTCCTTTGTGGATTCAGATCTCGTTTTCGCAGTATTCCAAATTAAATTTGCAGCAATTTTTCATAACGTTTTCCACGTGAGTATCCACACCAACACCGCATTGTTTTAAATCATATAGGTAGAGTAAATTAGGTACAAACATTGCAATGTTGCTACAGGTGCTTCCTCGCTTTATTGCTGATAGCAGCGATTCTCTGGAAAGTCAAACAAAAGTACGACATGTACAGAAGAAGACAGCGGCTTTTTGTAGAAATGGAGCAGATGGCTAGCCGTGCCTTCAGCCAAGTGCTCGTGGAAATCGAGAGGCGAGAATTTTACGTGACGGAAGCCGACGGATGTGACGCGGAAGTGAATAATACTCGCAAAAAGAAGAAGAAAAAGGTTTGTCCCTTTGTCGTTAGAGCATCGTGGGGTATGTAGAGTCACTTGACAAATTCGCTTTGATTGGCTTTCAGGACGCTCCGAGCCCGATAGCTCTAGAACCCTGCTGCGGCAACCGAGCGGCGGTTCTTTCGTTACTAGTCAGGCTGCCGACTGGGGGCGAGCCTTACACACCAGCCGGCCAGAGCGCGGGTCTCGCGGTCGCCTCGGCCCTCGTGACCTTGGGGAGTCCACGCAGGCCCTCCCAGGAGCTGACCATCAAAGAGCCCAAAAAACCCAGAAAATCGAGTAGTCAGCATCCAGAGTCGACGTGCATTTAGTGCTAGTCCCTAACGGCTAGCAAACGACAAAAACAGTATGCCCATATGTGGGAGCGCGCGTTTGTGTGCGTGTGTGTGAGAGTGAGACAAAGCTTGGTCAAACAAGCTGTGCTATGCATTATAGGGTCAAAGTATCGAGTTTGATACTTCCCGATTCGTTACTGCAATCGAGACATCCGCAACACAGAGTCGGAGCAATCGAAAGAGTCTTGTTTCGGCTGAACAAGCTCACGCTGAGCTAATTTTTTTTTAAATATGCCGAGTTGGAAATCCATCTACGCTTAGTAAGCTTTTAGGACTCCCGCGAGTAAAATTGACAAAAGGAAAAGGGAAAGATCACATTTTTTTTTTTTTAATTTGAAAAAAAAATCTTTGTATATATGAAGCTCTCCAGTTTTCTTAGTGTATATGAAAACTCAAATCTCAGAAGCAAAGACTAATTTTTCTAAACGGAAGAAAAAAGAGTGAGCGATAGAGGGAGACGAGAATAAAAAGCATTTTCTATTGCATAGGCCTTTAAAACATACTCATCGAACATTCTTATATCGACAAGAAACTCTTTCGTCATTTTTGGTTCTTCAGCAACTCTCGAGTTCTCCTTCGCACATTCTTGTTATCTTTTATTTCCTAATTTTTGTGTCTTCGCTTACCTCAAATTACAAAGACTGAATACTAGTGCAGTTGTCGAATTTATTTGATGAAATGCACTAAAAATAGCAATTTATTTCGAGTGATGCGTAATACTTGATTTAGGTAAGTATAAGTACAAATATTATTCCGCAAAAATAAAGCATTTCACAATTTTTTTTCTTTCTACTTTATTTACCACTGCATGCCGCGAAGGAGAAAAGCCAAATGAAGATTCGTACAAAAAATGAAAAATTACGAGGAAAGCCCAACGAAAGAGATTGTACAGTTTTGTATATATCGTTAATAAAATGGACACTTAGATGTTAAGAGCAGATTTTTTATGAGTATGTAATTATGCGAGTCGTAAAAATCTCAAGATTCAAGTTTTCAAATAAAATGATTGACCATTCGAAAGTTAATTGTGCTTCATCGAGTTGTAAAAAGTTACATGATTCTCTGCCAAGTTAAAATTATGTAATGAAGCATTAGAAAAAAAAATAAGCGTAATTAGATAAATAGTTGAAAATATTATTTGAATGAATGGGTCTGAAAAATGACTAGTGTATCATGATAGTTGTACTTTTACATAATAATTGTAAATTTATAGATCTGCAATACGTGTTTTGTTTTGTTTATAAACATCGAATCAAATCCAAACTTGTAAATAAAGTTATTCTTTTGAGCTAAAAAAAATGTAAGCATTAATTATATTTAAAGAAAAATAGTTATTTTGCTAATAATGCATGAAGAAATAATCTTAAATAAATATTATATTATCTTCTTTATATAGGTTTAAATGAAAAAAAAAATTTTTTCTTTCAGATAATTCAGATCAAATTAACATTCTTTTTTTTTTTCCATACAATCGAATTCCTCAGTTTTCCAGATTCTGTATACTGCAAAGTCAGAGTTGGAAAGCTCTTGACCCAATTTCCAAGATCTTTCTGATGATCTTGACAAATGATACTCGTGCAAAAATTTCGAACAAACATATTTTTTTATTTTTGTGTTTTGTCGCGTCACGAGATCTGCATTTTTAATTTGCAGACACGTTTTGACGTTAGCAGCTATCAAAAATATAATATTTTGGTGTGATTATGTATACTTTGTTTTAAAAGTAATTCACTAATAAGCTTCCAAAAAAGTTGTAATATTAAGCAACTGATCTCGTGACGTTTATGTTTTTTTGTATTTATTTGGTTAAATTTTTAAATGCTTAATTGTAGCTTCTGTCACTCATGACCTGATCGACCGCACCAATTAAATAAAATAATATTTTAAGACAAAAAAAAATCAAGGTTTGAAATAGTTCTTTTTTTTTAAAATAAGATGGGCATTTTTGGCCGAAAAAATTAGTAAAATTTTTTTAAATACATGTAAAATGAAACGAAAACTTGGCTGTATTTTTATGCTGGTAAAGTAAATAGAACTATATGGTTGGGTGTATAAAGGAAGTTGTATGAGCATTGAAAATACACTGTATTGTAAAATAAAATAAAGAAAATATTGTTTAAATAAAATGTTTAATTGCATTTTCGGTACACAGGGTTTTTTATACTATGTGAGATATATCTTTCAACCTAAAAAGTTGTAGACTTATATATTACGATGTGAATACAAATATATAATCCAAGTGCCAGTCGCATCTATCAGGGACTTACTGATGAAGTGTGCATTAAACATAAAACTATTATTTTACTATGATTACTTTTCCTTTGAAAAACCTTTTTATATAGAATATTTATATATTATAGTATAATGTTTTATCAAGATCTTCAAAATTATCTTGAATCACCACTTATAAACAAGTGCTCTCAATTATCCGTTATTTTATGATAACAATGACTGCAATCGGTAGCATGTTTATTTAAATTTTTGCATTTAAGCCACAAAAACAAAAATTGATAAGATTTCATGGAGAAATCGTGTCAATTTTTTACCATAAGGAACTTTTGTATTTATTATATACATTTACATTCTCTTACATTTCAAAGTCATGATTGCAGTATAGTTTATGTAGCAAAGAGTCGTCTTGCTTCTTCGCTTTGGTTTGGTTGCACAATTTTATAACAAATTATAGAATGAAAGAATAAAAAATATAACCAAAAATTTAACAAAATTCCAAACTTAGTTTTCCTAACAGTATAGACTGATCTTCGATAAATGTCTATTCCAACATAGTGCAACAGGTTGCGATTGTTAAACCATCAGTATTACCTCATCTCTGCTTGAGCATTCAAGACTTCCTGAAAGTCAACTTCACATTTTCCGACATCCGGAAGGCTGAGTCTTGCAAGTTCCTCCTCTGTGAGGGGTCTACTCTCGATTTTATGGTCATCGTGAATGTGCAGTACGAGTATGGACATGGTGTGGTATATTTTTCCACAAAGTGCACAAGCAAAGGATGTCTTGTCTTCAGATTCCAAGCAATGAGCATAGTCCTTGTGCGTGACAAAAGTTTTTTTATGAAGAGCCATGTGTTTTTCATGGTCAACGGCTAAAATAAACTCATAAGAACAAATTTGACAATACAGATAATGTTTTTCATATCTTGTGTGCGATCTTAATCTATGTACACTATCGTAAGTCTTTTCACAGACTGGACATTTCAAACATACGTGGTTTTGTAAAGCTTCATCTGTATCAAACAGACCAGAACAATATTTGCACTGAGATATTTTCTTTTCATTACATGAATGTTTAAACCAATGCTTCTGTAACTGGTGATACAAATCAAAACCAAGTCTGCAGTATATACAAATGAATCTGCCCCATCTATCTCTTTTCACTGTAAGGTTCATTGCTAATTCAGAGATCTCAGAATGTTTCTTGAAATAATTTTTTCGAGTCAAATTAATGTTACAGATTTCACACTGATCTTGATGTATATTCAAATGATCAAAAATAGTGCTAGCATCTTCGTTATTATATTTGCAAAAAACACAGACATAACTATCACCGTGTTTGCGCAGATGACAGGACACATGTTTTTCAAATGTGCACGCCTTAAAGAACAATGCTGTGCAAGCAGGACACTTGACATATGGTTTTCCAGATTCTGTATACTGCAAAGTCAGAGTTGGAAAGCTCTTGACCCAATTTCCAAGATCTTTCTGATCATTGGTGTCTGCAGTCGATGAGGTAAAATCACTGAAGTCTATGGTCATCAGAGGATCATTAAATTCATTTTTTTCCTCTTTTACCATACTAACTGTAGTAGCAGTAGAACTGGTTGCCTCTATGGTGGGCAGAGTAGCAGTAGTTTGGGTATCAATTTTGTGTAGCAAAATGACTTTCTTTTGAATCTTTTTATCATTGTCTGCAGTGGTAATCTCTGCATTCAAAAGTTCCTCACCAGTTAAGCCCTGAGCGTCAGGCTCCAGTAAGGTTATTATAACATACTTGTTGCTGTTGCTGGCGTCCATGCACGGAATGGTCATTGTCTGGCAGTCCTGCTCCGTGATGGTGGCCTGCTCAAAGGTTACCTCCGTCGTGCCGAGAGCAGCTTCGTGATCCTCTGGTTTGTAGGGGACAGGCATGAGTTCGTGTATCTGCATCATCGTGTCGTCCTTCTCCTCTACGTTTGTCACAAGAGCCTTCTTCTGGACTTTTTCGTGCTTGATTTTTTTCCTACCTTTTGCGCGTTTCTTCTCTGTCAGAGTCAGCATTTTTAATGACAGCGATCAACAATAGATGGCCGATGTAAGATTTCTTGACACTCAGACGCCGAAAATCTGTACGGATGAACAAAAATATACCAAATGTATTGTTAAATAATCATCTTAATCAAAAAATATCAAGATAAAAGAGTAAAAAGTTGAAGTTACCCAGCGCAAGTATATGACCATGTCCCAAGCTTCGACTCCGGCTGGCGATCAATTATGTATAGGTACACATAGGCAAGGTATTGCGGGTTGCGAGAGTAGCTCATATATGTTTGCCAAATATTTTTCTGTTAAGTACTACATAATTTCTGCACAGTACAGAAATTGGCGAGGGAGTTTGTTGGTTTGCCCCCTTCTTTACGACTTTACGATTACGAATATATTTTATCGCTATATATATCTATACTTACAATGCAAAATATATATACAGACCATACCATACATAGAGGCCATCAACGATGACTGTACCTACATGTATATGATGTATACTTATATACTCATACCTATGTCAGTCCTATCACCACACAATATTCACAGCCGATGAGCCGATTCGGCTTTTTTTCGCGCACAAGAAATAAATTAAATGTTACATATAAATAAATTGACTACAATTTACCTATCAAATGAAAATGAGAGACTCGAGGAGGGAGGACGCTGTACTTGAAAATTTATGCTGCTGCCGTGCTATAGGTATGGGCTATAGGTACCAGCACTACACACTCTACTACTCCTCATACTGCCACACTGTCTATAACCGAAACAAAACAAAATACGTGTCGTTGCCTATTAAGTATTATTTGCTGTGCTTCGATCTTCGATGCTAATGGCTATTGGCTATACCTGTATCTAGTAGGCGTGTTTATATACACTATTATGAGCACTTTACATAATGTACCATTAGGAGCAGCGAGGCGCCGTATATAAAAAAAAAATGATACAAGTCTATAAAAAACTGCGACTGCAAGACTACTTGCGGAAATATATTTAGTGACGCAGTTACAACGTTACAACGTTATAATGTCAGCTATAGTTTATACTTTAATTGGATGAGTATACACGTATATATGTGAAATTAATGGTGTGTCGTGTGTGGCGCTCTGGCGCTAGTGGATAAGTTTTCCTTCCACGTATATATACTATGCCATCAATGCCATGTCCAAATGTCTAACAATAATAAATTACAACAAACGGGCACACAAATACCTGAGGCACGATGCATCAATGCACGATATACTTATCATCGATTCGCGATATTTTGTAATTTTCGTGAGTCACGAGTTCAATAACATCTGACTCACAGTGTAGATATTATGATTTACCTATTAATCGAAACTATACGTAATTGATTATGCTGTCAATACTTAAGCTGTCATATATTTTATTAGCCTCCACTGTGAGCACAATGTTAATAAAGCGCCCTCGAACGAGGAACTGAAGAACGATTGATCTCACTCAATACATTGATATATGTGTGTACATTCGTCTACATACATATATGTTGGCTATATACATAGATATAATAATATCATTCTAAGCAATACCAATTGCACCGTTACTTGTTTGAGGACGCTTTATTAAAATTTTATGACTCTCTTTTTAATTAATTATATATTCGTCAGCTTACAAAATATTAGGAACCTGAATTATTAACTGTTGGTAGAAGAAGTATGTTTTCTTTTCCTACCCTATCGTAAGTTTTGAAAAGCCCAGCAGACCCATGCACTCCTTACGCACTTCTTATGCAATTACTAAATTGCGGAAGTGCCCGGGTCTGTTTCTTAAAAAACCCACGATGTGCTATTAGGGTATCTGTACAGAGTATTAATTCATCATAGTTATCAGTTTCATGAAATTTTTATTGATCAAAACCATGAAAAATTTTCTTCGAAGTAACAAAATTTGAAACCTCTGTCTTATGAATAATATTTTAATGATTATTGGATGAAAATCGAGAATGTAAAAAGATTATTAATATTCGTCATCGCTTAAACTACATTGTGGGACATTATCTTTGTTTTTTGTTTTTTTTTCTTAAATTAAGTTTATGTGCGTCAAAACAGTGCGCGTTTTTACTATCTGTTGAAAAAAAAAAATTTTGATTCGCTTGATTGCATCGCTTCAATCGCGAGCGCAGCTTTTTCAAATAACCATGATGATAATCAAATTAATCGTACAGTTAAACACCAAGTACTTTCTCAATGGAATAGCCTTGAATCGGAATAAAAATTAAAATGCATGTAAACTGTGTTTCTTTTTTTTTTTTTTTTTTCCATACAATCGAATTCCTCAGTTAAAAATGTTAGATTTCCTGTAGGCACCATAAAAATGTGAAGTACTTAGTTTATAAAAGTACCATTCAAACACGCCAATAATTAAATTAAAAATTTTAGCCACAAGGAAGGGTCACTTTTTATTCATTTCAATGGTTGTCCGTGAAATAATCTATATCTTTCAACGTATTATTTGAAAAACTGTTGTTGGGTGACATTTTAATAAAAAAAGTATTCGAAAAATAACTTCCACATCTGAAATTTTTTTCTCATAATCAGGGAAATCTCGTTCTACATAACTATCCCCTTGCGCCGCGGGGGGTGCGATCTTTGGATCCCACCCAATCTTTGCTTAGCGAACGATTATTTTTATCAGACTGCATGATTAGTAAAATCTTATATGACGATAAAAAAAAAATAAAATTTAATTACAATAACATGTCCGCACCTGTGTATATGCGTAGGTACAGCATGAGGATGAGGAAACAATTAACATTTTTTATATATGTGTTTAAAATTTTAATCAACTTTTCTCACGCATGTATCATAAAAAATTTTGTGACCACTTGCGCAGTTACTTTATCCTTTGTATGTGCTAAACATACTCGCGTAAACAACTGTACAGCGAAAAATTGATTCTCGATCATTATAGTGAAAAGTTACAGTTTTTCACGACTATGTATATACAAGTTTTGAGGATTTCAGAAAACTACACGATTCGACTAATTTATGTTTAAAAAAAATTGACAATTGTCGTATATTTTTTAACACTTTATTTATTATAATTATAATTAGACGTGCAGTTGTGATAATTATTGATAATGATACTTAACTAGCTTATTAAGTCTATAAATGAAGTGGTTGGAGCCCACATCAATTTCTTATGTCGTTTGTAAGTACTGGATAGATAATTACGTTAGACATAGCACTCATTTTACAATAAAAATAAATTTTTAATACCAACGTTGAGCGGATGTGATACAAAAAAAACATCATTTTCATGTTGATTAGTTTAACAAAATGTAAATCTTAATCCGCAAAGTATATTTTATTATAAGCGTGGCCTACGCAGACAATAGTGCATTAAATTACTTATTTCATATACCCTTGTGGTAAAGGGCTACGAGTTACCTCGTTGTTCGGTTAATCAAAGTTCATTAGGAACATTTAAAAAAAAATCTTTTTTTTCGAAAAAAGTGAGGGCTCACAATAAACACACAGTATTTTTATAATTAATATCTTTACTTTCATATTGACAAGTTGTAACATGTCCAAATTCTGTCGAACAAAATTATAATTTGTTTTTCATTTTTAGCGAAACTACTGAACCGGTTTGGAGTTTAACCCGGGATCATTTTTTTTTTTTTTTTTCTCATTTCTTACACCCAACACTCCTTATTTAATGTAAGAAAAAAAAAAAATTTTAATAAGATCCGACAGAATATTGCAAAATAAGGACGAAGGTGGTGGGAGGAGAGGAATTAGCCGTGTGTTCGTGTCATCCTGACATACTCCTGACGTGTTATATGGCGCGGGCGGAGGAAAGGCGGGTGGGGTGGGTTATTGATTGCGTGACGTCAGCGTTGCCCACGCGCGCAACAGATTATACAAAGGGGAAGGCAAACTTTTACCTCCTCCGCAGGTGGTCGCGGATATTTTGGCAATGTCAATGCACATTGTACGTACTTACCAGTTTTATTTAAAAAAATTATTTTTGTATTGTTTTATACGCACATACTGATGTATAGAATGTACTTTTAATTAATTATTTTCATATTGCTGATTGAGCATCGCGATTGTATTGTTTTTCCCCGACAAATGACAAATATTTTTAGATGAAATTTATACAATTTGTACTCGAACAACAACAAAACCAATGAACATTTATTCATGCCATTACGCAAGCGAACATAACGTAGTACTACGGAAATTGCAGCTGCAGTGTGTAGCACTATATAAGTATAGAGGTGAGTGGCGCGTAATACAACTTACTCCCCGTATATTGCGGTGCAAAATAAAATGCAGGGTTGAGGGGGGGAATCCACAAGATCAGAGGAGGTATGATAGATATATACATGTATAGGCTGCAGTGGAAGCGTAATTCTATATATTGTCATGGGTATATAGGTACATGTATGGGTAATATGGTATGTGTGTGTATATGCGCTACTCCTCGAAACGGGATCCTTGGGGTCTCTTTCGTTTTGTCCCTTTCTTGATGTCTGCCAGAAAGGGTCTGTTATACGCACGTCTATGTATTACATGCACACATTGTGTATCCGGCGAGGCGAGGGGGGCATCGGAAAAAGAAAGAAAGAGAGAGCGGCTCGGTTCTCTCCCCCCAGGTGCAAATGAACCCTATAAACCGTCGTTCCCTCTCGCCGAATACGACAGATTTTTATTTCGACGTCGCGTTTATTTCCTCGATTTCATTTTTGCTTTTTCAAAATCCATTTCTTATTTAATATTTTCTATTTTTATTAAATACACAGATTTTAGGGTTGTAAACGATTAAGGTGAACAACCGCAGTCTGTACATGTATTTGAAATATGATTTTAACGTTTCCAGAACATATGTTTTAATCGAGAGGTAAAATTGAAGACTTTCTGCGTACTTTAGACATTTGTATTCACGCTACCCCCCAAAATCTGTTGCGATCGTTTGAAAATGCTTGTATCGAGCGATGAAATCGAAGCCTTTCTGGACAATCGTTTAGGGAACAAGGAATGTACTCTTCTACGCGTTTCAACCAAAGAAAAAGCGATTGCTCCTTAAGTTTTGAAAAAAACCGTAGCTCGTCAGTAGAAAATTCACATTTTTTTTGTTGTTTTCACAAAGGAACCCTTTGACAATGGTTTCACGCCCAATGAATCGAGGGAGTAAACTATAGATACCTCGAAGCATCAAAACCACATTTAAAAGCTTAAGAAACACCAAAGCGTCCCCGAGAGGGATTGACCCAACGTGGACGCGTAAGTATAAAAAAAATATATATATATATATATATATACTCAACGAGCCGCGCACGCGTGTTGCAGTGGAGAGAGTTGCTTCGTATAGGCGCTTCCGTGTAATAGAGAAATAGGGAAGCGACGGCGTCGCGTTCAGACTGCGGACGGACTCGGGCGAGCGCGCCGCGGCAATTCGTGGCTTGATGCTTATTCGGCGATCCTGATACATAGGGACAACCAGACTTTGTTGTACCTTCAGACTCCGTTGCTGGCCGTGTACGTTGTGATGGAAATTTGTGCGGTTGTCGTCACTGGAATTTGAGAAATCGAGCGGCGGGACCAGCTCATCTTTGCTCGGGGTGCACTACAAATAAAGTGGTCACCGAAAAAAAAAATATACATTTGTGATTCGCAGTGTCGGACGTGTGTTGTATTGTACAGTGATTGGTTTTTGAGTTTCTTTTTGTTCCCGACACAGGTTTACTACCAAATCAGGTGAGTGCATCATTCAGGCTTCAAAAAATAAATCCGCACTTCTTTCAACCGATGTGATATTTTCCCTATCCTTCGCGCACTCACTTATACTACCCGAGTGCCCTTTGGGTGATGTCATTCATTTGTTGGCTGATAAAATTTTCCGAGCAACCTCTTGCTCGTTTCGTCGGTAAGTTTTATCAACCAACAATTTCCCAACGCGTCGTCCAAACGGTTAAAGTATTCATCGTCTTGAGAACTCACACGTGTGTGTACCTGCAAAACTTTTAAATAAA